AGCAATAACACTGTGCAAAATTTGTTTTCTCCAGAACTGACATGGAGCCATTGCCCTCAGTAATTACACATCATAATCAGATTGTGGCCATTGTTGAACTGGCTGCAGCCACCTTCACAGATCAGTTATCCAAACATGAACCCATCCAGATGCAGAAACTAAGCTGTAATATAATATTACCTCTTGCATAAAGTTCTGTTTTCGTGCGTCAGTCTGGGTTTCCATAATACCCAGAATATGACGTTTACAAAGAACATGATGAGCCTTGCTATTTATGTCATTTTAGATGGTCATAACACTATCCAGACTTCCGATCGTCTGTGTGCCTCAGATATTAAATATCTCAGCCACTTCTTTTTACCTCAGCAGTCGGGGATGAACAGTTTCTGGCTCTCTGAAGTCTGCTGAATTCGCCTGGAGGCAGAACTCAGCTACTCCATCTGACGCAGCTCATTATGCTCTGCATCACTGAAGATTTTTTTGTGCTACTAACTAACTACTAAATAGCATGGGTAGACGGTACAGCTGCACACATACAGTGATCAGAAACCTGGGTAAGCCACATTCTCCTGGCTTCTATCAGAGGACTCCAGCTAGCCTATCAAGGTTTCTGAATCCAGAATATGATGAAACAAATAGCTATGATAAACCAAAAACCATCCAAAAATATCAGCTTTATGGAGTTCATTTTGGGTTGTGGTTCCCAACTAGTGGGTCGTGGTCCAAAAGTGGGTCCCAGGTCCATTCTGTATGGACCACAAGTGACTTGCAAACATGTCACCTTTGTAAAAAAAAGACACTTTAATTTGAAGGACAGTTAATTTCTGGCACAGAGCTTTTATTTTGAAATGCTGTTTCCTGCTGTAGAGTGAGTGACTACTGGACAGCTACATAACAGAAGGCAAACTAGCTCGGTGACATGGCCAAATGCAAGTATGACGTCGAATATATTAAACTGTGTGGACACTGAACTGATGACGAAGGAGAAATCTGGACCCTGTGGCTGGACCAGTTGGGAAGCACTGCCCCAGGGTAACTGTAAAGGCTCCAGATTTATGGTGCTTTAAGACGTAAAAATGATTGATTACATTTTTTTCTTCTTGTGACTTACGCATGACCATCCACAAATACCAGACGCCAATTATCTGTGCTCTGAAACGTTTTTTTCATAGACCTTTCAAAACACAAATGTGGCATTAAGCCGTGTACAACATCCTGAAGTCTTTTTCTGACACGTTGTAAATTCCAAGCACAAGTACATATCTACCTGTCTTGTACTTTGGAAAATACTTTTGCCAGACAATGATCTATGTTGTGATTAAATGGATTTTCCAGATTAGGATTTTTATTTTTTTTGTTTTGTTTTGCAGATGCTCAAATAACCAAACCTCGACCTGTATTTCCCGGTCCTGGGCAGCCCCTTGTGACAAACATTCATAATCATGTTACTCACAATTGATGACTGTATTCTAATAGCCAGGGGACCAGTGTTGTCTTCTCAGAAGTGTTATTCACCTCTCAGTTGCATCAACCGGGATACATAATTTATAGCAGGCCAAATGGAAAATGGAAACTCGAAGCACTGCATCAGCCTCAGATGAAGACAACAGGAGGATTACACAGCACAAACATCCTTTTTTTGCTTACTTCTCGACATAAAATAATCTTGAGCAGGTGGGACTTTAGTTTTTCATTTTGTAAAGCTCAAGACGGAACCACCATCCGCCACACACACTGCAGAGCTGTTCGCCACACATAAAAGCTGAGAGGTGGTTTATTTGGACAGGGGCTCGTGGAGGTCCTTGAAATTCTGGTCGCCATGTTTACTTTCCTTAGAAACTGTGAAGCGCTGGTGGACCTCTAAACACGATGTACAAAAATGAAATGCAGAGGAGGTCGAACTGGGGGAGACTGAATGAAAAGACCATATGGTGTACGAGGCTGATTGAAATGGAACAGGAAATGCACAAAGATCACTCCTACGAGGATAAAGAGGTGGTGGAGGGCCAGATTAGAAAACGCAGACACATGACAAGCATGCTGGATAAGGAAACCGGTAGCTTTTGTGGTTTGTAGCAGCTTGAATGGAGGACTGGCACAGATGGAGTACATGCCACACATTCCAACTTCAAGGCCAGCAGTTTCACCAAGAAACTTCAGAGTCGACAGTCATGGCAGAAGTAACTGCTACTTACTGCACGCAGAGGCAAAGTGTCAGTGATGTGTATTTTGGCTCAAGACCCCTTAAAACAAAGCAGTAACTTCTTGTGACCCATCAGTTTGGACACGAGCGGTGCCACCAAGGAGAGATGTTTTTTCTTCCTACATTGTTTAAGGTATGAATATGTAAATGCAGTGTTTCTCAAATGAGGGTACACATACCCCTAGGGGCACTTTGGAGTACTGCAGGGGGTTAGTGAGGATTTTTTTAAATGTTAATTTTAAAAATATCAGCTGTGCATACTTCCTCAAACAATTAAAGCAATAAATATTTGCACCTTATAAAAAAAGATGCAGTTCAATGTAACCACAATGTGGCCTTAGTGCTACTGCATGATGATGGATTATTTGAAATACAGCCTTTTAGTATTTTTCAGGTACAAGGTTGTTGTTGTTAAGCAAATCAAATACTGATGGTGCTGTGCTGTGTTGTTCTTTATAGAGGCTTCAGCTTTATTCCACCAGGTGGCTTCCTTACCAGGCTCCAAGGGTTCACACTGAGCCGGGAGAAAACACTATTTAAAAAAATTCTACCCCCCTTTTAAAGTCCATGTAACTTAGGAATGCAATCATTTTTTTGAGCCGGTTTTGGTCACTTAATTGTGTGATGATTGTATTTCCTGTCTGTTGTGTTTTATTTCTATTTAACCCTTTGAAACCTGGAGCAACATCACTTACTGTGTGCTGCTTTCAAAAGCCTTTAGTAGGTATTTAAACCTTCAACTTCTGGGCAAATTGGTGCAGTTTCTTTCAGAAACATGGGAAAAAAGGTAATGAGCAAGTTGATACGAATTGTCCCATTAATTGCAAATTTTTTTAATTTAATATTTACAAGTTATATTTTATTTAACATTTAATATTTATAATTATCATAATTACATATGTACTTATTATGGTATACAATTATTAGAAGCACTCATTGCCTTCTTCCCATGGAAATCAAACCAATTTGCTCAGGTTTCGAAGGGCTCAGGTTTCGATCACGACATATTCAGCATTTGACAAAAAAAAAAAGGAAAAATGAGAATTTAAGCAAAAAGAAATAACATTTTTGGATAAATTTCATCAATATTGTAATATTCTTGCAATGCTTCTGATTCGTCTAATGCCATTTGGGTGTCCTGGCACCCAGGACACAAACCACTTCTGTCATGGAACAAGAACGCTTTAAAGCCACTGAGACCTCAAAATAAGTGAAAAGAGCTACGGAAATATTAACAATGACCAACTTCATTATCTGTATCCAGAAGCCATTAAATGAACCACATCTCAAGGTTCCACCACTCCACTTAGTATTGAGCTGTGGTGGGTGCTGCTCAGTTAAAGGAATACATCACCGACAAAATGACCAAAAAATCAGCTACTAATGCTGTGTTAACCTTGAATTAATGGAGAAAACTATTACACAGAACTTGTGCTGTATAATCCAAGTCTCAAGGGTCGTTTTCTCGGTAATTCCCAAACATGCATTTCCACTGAAACATTATTTAAAACTGAACTGAAAATGAATTTTTTTTTATGCTGTCTCCGAAGCCAGACTCCAATGCGAAGGTTGTGTTTTTTAAAAGCAAAAATGCATGCGTTTGTGAAGTATGGAGCATTTGAATGGATAAATAAGACTTGGATTATACAGCACAAGTTGTGTTTGAGTTTGTGAGCGCATGGCCCCAAGTAATCAATACGTTCACATGTTTTCAATGGAAGCTTGAAAAACAAAAAAGTCTTCATGAATTCAAGGTAACACGCAATGACTAACCTATGTACAGAGTCATTTAGTGGGTGGGTTAGTCCTTTAAGTACAGGGCTTAATGGTTGTCTCCTGTCTATTAAAACATGACTCATATGTTGATTGTAGAGCAGACAGGCATACAGATGTGACAGGGCCCCATTGTTCTTATCCACAGCTACACGTGCTTTGACCCTGTTGGTTTGGTCATCTCCACTCTGAGTAATTATTTTGATCCTCAGCACAATAATCATCTCAACAGCACAATTACATGCTCATATTACAGAACACTAACATGCAACCCCATCATGTTGCTCCTTGTTCTGTGCTGCAACACTGTGACCATAAAAATTACCAGCTTAGGTTGAAAAATACATATGCCCTATGCATTTTCAACAAACCACTCAAAAGCCTTAAAAAAGGGGGGCCCGCAAGGAGCAGGCTAACACACACACACACATCCACCATCATCCCTGAAGTACGGCTGAAGGAGACACTTGTGAGTATAGGTGGTCTGTCAGTGGGTGTCCAAACATGTAATTTGCCCTTCAGGCTGCGGGCCTGTAAAAAAAGATCTCTTGTAGTTGCCTTCTGACATTAACAAGGAAAATACTCCGCTTGATTGTAAGTTTGAGTGCAAAGCCGCAATTCAGCGGACGGCCAGGCTATAGTAAGGGAGGAATAAATAGTAAGGAATACTAAAAGGGCAGAAAAACCTTACTGGGCAAATTTTTCAATGATGGGTTCTGCTTCCCATTAAAGCAAACAGAGGCGGGCTGAGCCGCGGCCCTAAGGAGAGCAGTGCGGGCACCGAGGCAGCCAGCTAGACCACAGGAGGGGGAGATACAACATACTACAAATACTACACATAGTATATGTTGACATACAGGAACAAGAGAGCAATTAGCAGCGTGCGGTAGACCAAGACTCGGATCGTTTTGTTGTTTTGGTTTATTGTGCACATTGTTCTGTAGGCCAGTCCAGGGTGTAGAGACTGCAGATGTTCTCAGTATTTACTGTATCATATGAAAGCCAAGTAGTCTTCTGACTACACTTCATTAGCAAACTGCTTTTTGCACAATCCTTTATTGAACAATTAACAAAATAGAATGCTGGAGGCTTAAAATTAAAAGACAGTATAGATTTTGTTTTTTTTTTGTTTGTTTTTTCTTTTTAAGGTCAATATCCCAACAATTCCCAGCAGACAATAGTGTTAGGAGCACATACTGAAAAGAGAGACATTATTGAAGCATTTCACCAGCACATTTCCTGACCAGCCATGAGAGACTGAGATAAAACTGTACAACAGAAAGCTCAAGGTGTCCGTTCAAAGTCCCCACTCCCAAACATTCTTCAAAAAAAGGGGAAAGAAAAGTATGCAAATTAACAATGTCACAATTTGTGCAGATATGACTACAAAGCCAGCAGCACAACTGAGCTATCATTAAAGTTAGAAGATGTGTGTCGACCGTCTAAATGGCATGCCTCCGTCTCCTGCGTGGAATGAGTCGTGGACATGGCAACAAGACCTCGGATGGAGAAGGCAAAAATAATGTTTGGATATATATACTGGAGGAAAGGCAGCAGGGCCTATATTAATGTGTCCTTTGGTTTACCTGGGGAAGGTTTCCGACTTTGGAACCCAAAAGAAAAAGTCAATTTCTCAATTGCACCACATAATGTTAAATTACAGAGGCTAAAAATAATTTAAGGTGAAATTATGTTATTTTGAAAAATGACTTAAATTTCACTTGAAACTGGGACTGAACCTGGTCAGTCTTTGTGAAGTTACAACCAAGCACCGTATGGGACGTGTTAAAATAAACACAGGAAAATGGTTTTACACTGCACCATCTCTGATCTGAGGCAGGAAACTGTGGGACAACCACCTTCTCACCTGTGTACCTTCGTTAATTAACTATGCGTGAGACAAAAAGGAGGACTTTTGTACACAAGCCGTGTGGAAATACTTGGAAACACTTGTAAAGTGTTAATACTGAGATTCTGACACTGGTGGTTGGAATGAAATGGGTCTTGAGCAAAATAAAAAAAAAAAAAAGGAAAAATATGACCAAACAAAAAAAAAAAAAAAAAAAAGGAAAAAAAAAAAAAAGGAAATAAATATCAAGCAAAGAACTATTTCAATTTTATTCATTGTTGTGCTTTAGCCTGTGTAATTTCTTTTCAAACACCAATTCAAATGCAAGCATCTTTTTTTAATCTGAAGGGAGCGAGAGCATGGGGACATCCAATAAATGATTAATGACAAAAAGAAAAAACATCTTTTAGTAACTCAAAACAAAATCACAATCAATGAATGATCCAAAAAAAAAGAAAAAAAAAAAATCAATATCTTCAACAAAAAGCAAACACTATCTCCTTTTGCGCACATGTCCGGGGTTGGTTTTTATGCAGAGCTTAGCACAGATGTAGTCCCACTTCCCCTCAGTTTCCCTCGACTAGGAGGAAATGCTGAGCCACAAAAGATTAAATACATAGGTGTCAGGTACATTCCCCTAACTCCTCACAGACATTAGACTTGCTGTTGGCGACTGATTAGGGTTAGACTTGTATACTGAGTGGAAAAAACATCACACGTTGAACCTAAGGCAGCCCCCGCTTTCTGCTGAGTTGGGGGGTAAGAGGGGTGGTGTGGCTCAAAACTACACTGATAAGCCACCTATACACAGGTGGAACCTTTAGACAAGTAAAGACAAAAAAAAGAATGGATAGAGAAGGAAATGTACAAAGTAAACAAGGGCAGGTTTTGCAGTGGAATCTGTCTTGATTGGTTGCCATCTCTCCAGTGCAATAACTGAGGCTAAAAACTAGCGCGGCCCTTTAGGACCCAAACAAGTTTTCAGTCAGCTAGATTTTATTTTTTTTTATATTTTTTTATATTTTTTTTTTACATTTTAATCTAAATATTTGCAAAATATGCATTTGCCTGTCATATCGTAATCATCAATCAGTTTATACTTTGTGCACAGAAGCTTATTTGTTATTAAATTCTAAAGCGCATTAATATTTTTTTTAGATAGTCTTTCTAAATCTAAACCCAGATACCATAACAAGGATCTCTCAAACAAGGAAGCTGTTCAGTCCTCGATGTACTACCCATGTTTTTTTTTTCTCCTGTTGTTGATGGCTCAAGTTGTACCGAGATTTAAAAGCATCATAAAAGTGAGGAAATGGAGGAGTTGTTTGTGTTGGTGGCAAAGAAGACAATCTGGCCTTGGGAGGAGAGACTCGTGATAATGCTGGTGCTGGGCCTGTTCAATGCACGAGGGCAAATTCAAATAGGCTTTTAAACTGCTGCAAATTCATTAGGCCAACAGTTCCCCCTTTAATAAAAGGCAAACACTGATATTTCTAGGTCATTTCCTTAGAAAAGGTAATTCAAACAAGAGAAGTTACCCCAGCGGTCCACTTGCAGCCTGTGGTAGATAGTTCTTCCTGTGTGTGAGTCCACTGTTTGCTATCTGAGCCGAGCTGCGGGCTCAGTGAGAGGTGAGCCTCAGGTCCTAACCTGTAAACCTCAACCCCACCTCTGTCTGTTCAACAGTCCTTTCCTCGCTGCTTTAAAAGTAAAAACAAAAAAGGACAAAACAAAAAAAGAAAAAACAGCAGTGGTGCACAGAGAAGAGAGAGAGCAGTCACAGGGAAACCTTTGTGAATGCAGCCCGTTTCTCTTCCTCCAAAAAGAAAAAAGAGACAAGGAAAAAGGTGTCGGAAAAGCTGGTTCTCAGGAAAGCGGGGACAGGAGGGAAGAAGAGGAAAATCTTGCAAGAGAACAAGTTGGGCAGTGTTCCTGTTCATTAGTTTTATATGTGTGTTTGTGTCATGTGTGGATGTACTGTCCTGTCAACGAGTGCATTTGGAGCATGTATGTCTGGTGTGCGTTGGTGGGTATATTCGGGTATTCTTGCGTGTGTGTTGGGATGTGTATGCATGTGTCTACAGCAGGTCGACGCGGCGGTAGTACAGCAGGTAGGCGGTGCGCTCTGCAGTCTGCTTCACCACCTGGTACTGGTTGATGACCTTCACTGTCTGGTCGTCAATGCGCAGCCAGCCGTTAAGACCAATGTGGAAGACATCCGTGGTGTAATGACCGCCTGTCGCGCTGTTCCCATGGTGATAGACAACTGGTTGGGTTGAGAGATGGGGAAAAAGACATGAGAGGAATGTGGGATATTATATTTAAAAGGCATTACTCATCTGTTACTTCAAACTTGGACAGTGCAGTATCAGCAGTTTTTATAATGAACACTTAAGCCCAGAGTTTTACCCACAATGCAGTGCAGCATAGCTTAAATAGTAGATATTATGCCTTACAAACTTATATTTAAATGATTTTATACACCAAATTAAAATTGTGTGCTTAATGCTTTTGTTTTCTAACCTTATAAACTCTCTATAAAATCTCACTGCTCTAAAGTGTGGGACTAAAAGGAGGCTCAAGCTCAACTGATGACTTTAATGATTAATTACAAAGAGCTTTTACTCCAGCTGTGGATGAATTGTTTCTTGGAAAACTTAGCAAAACAAATACGTGTTCCAAAAACGTTTTAATCTTTGATTATGATCCCAAAGTATTTCCTGATGAGAAATGAAAGGATGACTGTCAACCAGATGTATTCAGGTTTGACACACAGAGGGACAGCCATTCTTAAAAGCACTCTTGGCAGCGTCGTTGTTTTGGGCCACATTGTGGTGGATTTACAGTTCCCACAGTGACAGTAAGTTACAAAACTGACATAATTACGAACTCCCTAAAAGCAAATCTAACAGTGCGACTGAAGTGCATAAACAACAAAACACAAACACACCTGCAAAGAGCCTGTAAGTTCTTTGGCCTTTCACAACTTTGCTCCGCACTCCAGAGGACAAGAGATCTGAAAGGAAATAATGGTTAGGAAAATCCACTGATTAGTAAAGCAAGATTTAAACCATAGTTTAAAGGTGTACTATACAGGAATTGTGGGTTAACATTACTGTTTGTAAACTGTATCGCCTACAAAAGCGAAAGCCAAATGTAGATTAACATTTCTCCTCACTGTATTTGGAAAATCCTGCACAGTATACCTTTAAACTCTGACTAAAAACAGAAGGTGTTGCACCATGTTCTGCTGCAGGTAAAGTGAAATGTACAACATCATAACAGGGCTCAGATTAAAAAACTTAATTTAAAATGATTTTATATACAGACTTCACTGCAACATTGTTATCCTGATTCATTCTGAGCCTGATCCCTCCAAAGATAACTACAGCTATCCTACTTGAGCTATGCAAGATAATGATTTTGCAACCCGATTCAATCAGTGCATAATGTTGTGTCATTTTCATGAGTCACTCACACAAGCTGAGCTGAGAGATCATTGCCCCAGAGAAGAACCACACCACAATAATTCTGAATATCAAAATGATTAGTCTCCCTCTGGGGAACCAACTTTTTAGAGTACAAATCATACCAACACTTGAGGTTAATCTGGCCAACTCATGGAATTAATCATCTGAAACTAAAACTGAGAAACATGTTGATGTGTGTTTGATAACTTTGGCCCTTACTTATTTTTCTTAACATGTTTGCCTGCAAACATATACACATAATCCTAAAAAAGGACCTTGATGAGTCCACACTATAGTAACGAAGATAGAGTATAGTGATAGAATTTTCTCTGTTGGAAAACTTGCCCATATTTGTATGTTTTTGGTCAGTGCTGGTAAATTGAATAATCAGTTTCTATACACAAGCACTGTGCACTGTTCATGAACTTGGTGCAGACACTACACTTTTGTAAACACTAAAAGGCAATGGGTCAAGTTAAAGGTCTGGCCTGGTCGTAGAAGTCCATACCTTTGCTGATTTCCAGATCAACGGGGTAATCAATGTTCTTTGTCAGCTTCTGGCAGCCTCCAGTCTTCTCAAAAACAAATCTCTTGAGATGGAGCACCAGCACAGGGGGGAGCTCCTCCAGAGTCACCCTCCGACTGATCTCAATCTGAGGACGTGGACAGAAAGACAAGGAGAAGTTCAGTGAGAGAAGGTTCCCTTATTGTAATAAAACAATACAAATATTTGTATATTGTGTTGACTTGGGATAAAACCCAATAAAACTTCTGATAAACAAAACAGCTCAGAGAACGGAACAACTACAGAACAAGCACTTTGTAAATACAACAGCGTGCTGGGCTCTTCCAAGTATTGACTCGTAAATCATTTAGTTTCGGGGCTGTTAAAAGCACAAAAGAGAAGAGCTTGGCTGTAAAAAAAATGTACTGTCTTTGAAATGACAAAAAACAGAATGATCGGTTACAAAAACAACAGAAAAAGAAATCCAAAGATGCCCATTATACATCTGTAGAGCAGATTGTCCCTGCAGCAGCTGTTTTATTTTAATGTTCAATCACTGAACCATTTTAAGACAAGTGTTTTCTTCAGGAGTTTTGAGTTCTTGTGTTCTCAGAGCCAAGGAAATAATTAGAAATATTCAGAGAAAATTCACAGTTTAAATGAAGATTTACGCCATTTACCATGTGAAGCCGACAATACTCTTTATCTAAACGTAAAACCATCAGTCCACATGCCGAGAAAAGAGCAGGAGCATTTTACCACTTAAATTTCTTTGTAAACATGTGACACTAACTAATTAACTATACCACAGCCTGACAGTGTACTGTATTCATACCTCCTGCTTGGTTTTTGTGGTGTAGCCCTGGACTGACTCTCTGGCCACCAAGGTCTCCAGAGCCTCCTGGACTGTGCGTATCTTCTCTGACTGGATGTCCAGCTGCAGGGTAAAGAAAGGCTGCAGAGTGGCCGACTCTTTAGAGTTTTGTTGATACACCACCGATCTGGCAAAGAAACAAAACACCATGTTAGATATAAGAAGATACAAGAAATTATCTTACTAGGAATAACCATTAGATTATTTATGATGCTGAATTTTACAATCCAGTCATTCAAAAAAGGAAACTTAAATGAAATGGTCAACACTGGTATCATCAAACGACTGGACCTTATTTATTATTACAAGCATATCCTGACTGCAGCATCTCACCTCCAAATCTGAAAGAAAAAAATCTAAATCTTATATTCTGACTGCTTCCCTTAAAAAGACTTCGATATTAAAAAATAATTTTCAAACTGTAAACGTGAATCACAAACTAAATACTTGTGCCTGAAATGCCCCTGGGTTACAGCCAGGCTCAGTAGGCGTACACACCACACTCTGCAAACATACACTCCTGTATTCCATTTCTCTCTGGTTGCAACCATTTCTGAGAAAATAATCCTTGAAGACACTGTGCGACCAGTGTAGACCAGGACTGTGCCAGACCAGAACCTCACAGAACATATCATTTCGGCAGGCTACATCCACACAGGTTCTTTCCAATTTGACTGAAAGTTAAGACCTTTGTTTGTGAATGTGTGCCCCACGTCTTGCTGTCCAGACTTCAGACCACAAGCGGCCCACAGTGGCTGTTATGCTGAAGGACTGTGGTGCTAGCTGGACAAAAGCTGAGGATGGCTGGTGGCAGAGTGATTTGTGACGCCAATGTGAACAGAGGTCAAAAACCTTGAATGAGATGCTGCATAACCAGCGCAGGGTGCACACATGAAGATGACAATTATCTCCTGGAGTTGGTGTACTGACTGGGAACAGAAGCCGTAACCATAAAGAGGATGAAGCTCTGTTATGACATATCTGAGAAACTATGTACAAAGAAATTAAATAACTCCAAAAAAAGGATGAAAACATATGTCAGTGTTATCTTGCGGACGCATACTTTCAGTTGTCAACACAGTGATATGTCAATTATTATTTTAGCAGATACTGTTGACGATTCATTGAAACATATTGATTCTCCATATTTGTTTTTTGGTACAATTGTACCTGCTGCACTTTCGTTATCGAGACAACACTAATAGCAAATCATTCCTGAATCGCAAGAGGTGCATTTTCAGTTTCACAAATCAAATGTTCCTTCTACTATTCCTGTCTCTTGTGACAAAAGCACAACAGACTGTCTGAATAGGAGCAGGAAGTTGCTGTACCACGCCTAGGAAGGGAGACTATCACAGTAACACAGCTCCCATGGTAACGTGGACTTAGTTTTACACAACTGATTTACAAAGAATGCATCTCACGATATAAGACAATACAAACAGATCATGTTCAAACTTGTGCATCCTTCCCTCCCATGTATTTGCATAGCATGTGCTTACATATAAAATCAAATGTTTCACAACGACGAGCCAGTAACTGATTACTGAGCTCACTTTACACTAGAACCACCACGGGTTTAAACTGACCCATTTTTCTCTCGTAAGTGTATGTAGCTCTTTTAATCATGACCCATTTATCATGCCAGCACTCTACTTTGTGCGAAACAGTGTTATTAAAACATATCCTAAGGTAACGTGGTTCTTGAGCAAAGAAGAAAAAAGTACTGTACAGGGAAATCCAACACGAGTGCAGCATCATGGAGTACTTTGTTAATTTATGAGAGTAAAAACTCATCACTTAGAAAACAGCACACAGGTTCACCAGCCATGAGAATTTCTTCATTTCTTCAGGTAATTATTTTCACTTCACACAAAATGTGTTTCTGAAACACATCTCAACGATCTGTCAACGTACCTGATGTGCCCACCAAATATGTCAGTGATGGGTGTGCGGACAAAGTCAGCTTGGCGAGTGATGGAAGTCTTGTTTCTGGGGCCAACTTGCTCCCACTCGTCCTCACTACCTTCTTCCTCCTTATCAGCCACATCTTCCTCCACACCTGGCTGGGACTCTGGCCCATTGGGTGTGGGAGCTTCTGCTCAGAAACACAGAAGAAAAAACACTTTAGAGGTCAAATGATCAAAGCACTTCAAACGGCTTTGAGGTAAGCAAAATGAACTCCTCTCCTGAATCCCATGTCAGTTTACAAGTTGCAGAAAATTCAAAAGCACTTCAGCTGATGTGACAATGAGCGCGTTTACATGCACACTAATAAACCGATCATTATCTGATTTCTGGAGTTACCTGATTATTCAAGTGGTCATGTAAACAGCATAATCCGATAGGCTTTATCAGATAAAAGCCATTATCTGATTATGAGAAATCAGATAGACCCACCTAGCTTTTTCCCCAGTAGTCAGATTATTCGGTGCATGTATACCCTTTAATCTGGTTTCTTTCGGGTTTTAATATCTTATACTCCCAGTACACTACATTTTAGAGGGAAATATTGTACTTTCTACTCCACTACGTTAATCTGACAGCTTTTGTTTCCTTTCAGATAAAGATTTTACATAAAATAATATATCTTTATATTCTCAGTGTTTAAATTGTCACTTTTATTTTATCTTACTTATATGTTATGCACTTTGTGTGACAAGTTTATATACAATACACTTGTATATTGCACTTTACAGTACTTTTACTCCAAATCTACCCAAAGTATGTAAAATTGGCTCCACATTGATAAACTACACATTAGAATGCTCTCACATGTATTTGTTAATGATAAAAACAAACAGTACTGTAAGAATATAAGCTGTCAGCATGATGAGTGCTTTATTTTGCAAATATATGACTTGCGTACTTTTCGAGGTTTTTCAAGGATATGAGTACCTACTGTAACAAGAAGTTTGAGTTTTATGTCATGTTGAGGAGAAATCCAACTGAATGACTGAATCATGTAAACCAGGTTTTTCTGATTATCAGATTATTGAAGTGCATGTAAACGCGTCAAATCAGATTATTACCATTACCTGATTATTCACAGTTATCTGATTATTGTGCGCATGTAACCGTGCTCAATGACTGGAAGATGGCAGAGGTTTCATTTAAAACTTGTAAACTACTTGTTAAAGCTGTCATTCGGATCTGTGTGGTGGAGTGCATATTAATCACAGTGTGACAGACTGTCAGGTCACATCTACTCTGTTGCAAGCGTTCATGTTAAACCAACAACAAACAGCACAAAAACTTCAAACTCAACAGCAGATGCTCAGTTGACTTTGCTGCAGTTTGAGTAAACAGAAAGTAATTAGAAATTCATCTTAAACACAGAGAAGCACAATGACGTTCAACGAATACAGCCAATTAAATGATATCTGCAATGATATCTTCCTTGTGATATGGTCTGGATATTAAAGTGGTAAAAGATGCTTACTCTCTTCCTGAGGCGAGATTAGTTTTTTCAAAGCCAGCATCTCCTCGTGCAGTCCATTGAGAGTGAAGCCAAGATACTCCTCCGCATCCTCTTGTCGACCCTGCGAGTGAAGCACCAGGACATCAACACGAATTAAAGCACTCTACCAAGAATGCTTACTGTCAAATAAAACACCAGTTTATTATGAATGTGCATACACAGTCATTCAGTGAGGTAAACAGACAGGGAAGCATGTTTTACAATCGAGACAGGATGAGTGTAAGCCTCATTAAAGAGCAAAAGGTAACAATCTCGCAATGTTTGTGTAATTTCATTCATTAAAACTGAATCAGAATCAACTCAGCATGTGAAACTGCCTTTATTCAGGTGAGCAGACAAATATTAAGCTGAAAAATGTGCATTAAAAAAAGGACAAGGACATTCGCTTCAAGAACTGTATGTTCCAGAGGAAGTGTGTTCAAAGAGTGTGATCATTAAAAAAACCTGCAACACCTTGACACATTGCTTTGCAGTGAATGTGTGTTTTATCCAGAGGCAGCATGGTTTACCTTCTCAGAGAGACTTGACTTGATGAGAGTGAGGAGTCTATAAATGTAGGTCGGTTCAAAAGGTACACCGGGCCGAATGTCTTTCATGACCTTATCACCAACAGCTGTGGACATAGATTAAAATCACATGAGTGATGCCAACAGAAAGCAAAACCAAATGTTCTTCGGCTGTCTAACAGAGGGGTGTCAAACACATGTTAGTTCATGTTAAGTGCAATTTCAACAATATGTCAACAGTTTTTCACTGTTATTACATGTGTACTTTTCCATACATTTCCACTCCTGTGTAGTTATACTGCCATCACCACACCAACTACGGAGGAAGCTACTGAGGAAGCAGGTTAACTTATCCCCCACCTTACAAATTAGGATGCATCAATTGTGAAATTCTGGGTCAATACCAACTTTAAAAAGAACAACAACTTGGCAGATAGTTGATGCTGATTTCTTTGTTGTTGCTGTTTATTTTGTTATCATTGATTCATCCCTTTTGTGCCAGGGAAACAAGGAAATCTTCTTTATAAAAAATAAGTGAGCTGTTTTAAAGTCATTGAGCCTTCCATTACCTTTGAATAAGCACAAATTTCATCACACACATTTGTCAAACAACCTTAAAAATAACATTCTTTCACATAAAAACGTTTCTGACTTGATACATCATAATTACTTTCTCTAGTATCTTTTTTTATATTGCTGGGAAAACAACATCAAAGTTCTCTCAAACAACTGTATTTATTCAAGTTTTACAAAATTACAACTGAACACATCATGAGAACGCTAAAATTTACCATGCCATTACTCATTTTAAACAAATAGCACATGAACGCATCATAAAGCAACTTGATGCAATCTCTGTGAGCAGTTCGTTCTGGCCACTGGCTGCTAACCGCTAACCCTAACAAGCTCTCCTCCTGCTGATGGTAACACAGGTTTGTAATTCACAATGTAGCATTCGGGTAAAATAAACAGGTGTATCCCCTGATGTGTCAATGGTGAGTTTACTGCATCCTTTTGTCTCAAAGGTGCCCTAGGTAAGACTTGTGTCTGTCCGAAACACATTTTCTATTGTCTCAGGGACGCCGTTTGTCTTAAACTCTGCTTTTTAGCCCACCCAAATTCAATATGATGCAACAGAAAAACACTGGCCACTGCCATTGGTGAATATCTTATTTGCAATAGGCTGATGACAGTCAATAAGGAGAATATCAGCCAATACCAATGTACAGCCAATGAATTGGTGCATCCCTACAAAACATTTACAAATCAAAATGTGTCATCAAATATGTCTGATACAGATTATTTTTCACTAAAGCTGCTGTATGAAAATGTTTTGCACAATGTTCAGTATGTTCAACCATGACCACATCAGGTATTCTTATTTTTTTAAGAACCTCTATTGTGCTCAGGGTGGAAAGCAGCATTTTAAATTAAGCAGGCTACTCAGTGTTTAACTTGCCCCTGAAACTTGGCACTTTTTAGCCTTCTCAAGTGCATCAATATAAAATGCGCAAAGTAATCCAGTGAGCCAGATTGGACCCTTTAGTGGGCCAGTTCTGGCTCCCGGGCCATATGTTTGACAGCCATTGTCTGATATCTTACCTTGCTGTTTGGCTTTAGATGGCACAGGCATGTTGTTGAACTCGTTCACCAGCCTTACGCTGTCAGAGACAAAGAAACAACTGTGATGTCTCTGAGCAAAACATGTTTTAACAATTTGATATCAGGTTGCAGAAATGCTACTTACAAGTTGTCCATCATGGGTGTGGAGGTGCACGGTCTCTGCGTTTCATTATGCAGAGGAATGGACTTCATCAGGTGATACATGGGAGGGCACGCAATCAGGGCCTGTAGGGTCTGAGTTTACAGAGTCAGGGAGGAAAGCAGTGTGGAGGAAAAGTTACATGACAAGCTGCTCTAATACTTTAGTTTGATACCAATGGATGAATATGGTCTAAGTTAATGGTGTTATTTTTGTGAAGTCTTGAATTTGAGATTTTGTTATTTTTTCCAATCAAACCAAATCATATTTTCACCAGCCTCCCTAAAACACCACCATGATTATTAATGGACTACATGTTTTGAACTTTCCTGAAAAGAAAAATTGCATTTTCCTGGCTTCAGAGGAAATTTCCAGGCAGAGCTGAAACTCACTCAGCAAGTGTGTGCCAAAGACAAACAAACACGTTTCACAATGGCACGGTATTTCTAAAACACATACCAGTCTGCCTGAGACTTGATAACATTTATCCTTTGTGCTATGTGGCTTGGCACCAACATGAGAGCGAGTTACATTACCAACAACCAAACATAAACGTGTAAACGCAGTGCTGAGGGGTTAGGTGTAGCAAAAAGGCAGAGTGAAAGGATACAGCGTTGATATAGCACCAGTTTCCCTTGTTGATCAGTCCTCTCGGCTGCAAAGACACTGGTTTATGTATCAACTTCACATTCTCAATAAGTTCTGGGGATTCAAACAGACACAATGTTCTTAAACAGGGTAGCTTTGTACAACTCCCAACACACAATGACAACCCACGTCAGTAATGTCAGTCATTAACACAATGATACAGTGGTGAATTTTACATATATAGTCCTAAATCACAAGAAATACATTCTTATTTTCACAAATGTTCCTTCTGCTATTCCTGCCTCTTGTGACAACAGCACCAGAAACTGTGTGAATAGGAGCAGGAACTTGCTGTACCACGCCTAGGAAGGGAGACTGTCATTCAGTAACACAGCTCCCATGGTAACGTGGACTTTGTTTTACGCAACTGATTTATGGAAGAGAAAATCATTGATTTTTGTCTCTGTAGCTGTGACTGCAAGACCAACGACATACACACATTAGACAACACAAATAATAGATCATCAGTACATTCAAGCATATGCATCTTTCCTCTGTACATATAGCATGTACTTATGTAAATAATTCAACTATTGCTTCACAAAAACACTTTGGATTATCACAACAAGTCAGTAACAGGTGGGCTGATTACTAAACTCAATTTATAATGGCACCACCATGGTTTTGAAACGACCCATTTCACTTCTGCAAATGTATGACTGAACACATTCAAATAAAAATGGTTAAATGCACAGTATTCAAAACAGCCTGTAATCCCATCTGCCTGTAATCGCATTGCGGATTACAGTCTATAGTCTCACTATGTTGCAGCACTCCCCAACAGAGCAAACAATTAAGAGTCTACAGGGTCAATACGGGTCACTGGCACTTTTCAAAATGTCATTCCAGTGGATCTAGAGCTTTAAAATATCTAGAATTGACTGATGGCTGTCAAGCTAGGAAAATCACGTTCTGCAGATAAAGATACAGCCACAAGGTTTTCTGTGTCATATGCATGCATTTACATCTCTAAAAGAAACACACCGTTACAGTAAAAAGAATACTTTGCATACCAAATTACACCCTATAAGGGCTGGGCATCTAAGAGGAGAAGACAGTGTGCTGAAAATGTGCTTTTTTGATTAACCAGATTAAGTTCAAAGTGGAGCTTCAAAGTCAAAGTGTGCGGGGTAGACAAACAAAAAGAAGGTCCCCCGTCAGCAACTCAAACTTGTATATACATGCAGCATATTCAGATGTAACTAAAACAAATACTGCACACTGCTTTTAAAAGACAGAAACCAAAATTTAAAAGAAACAGTTGAGTGACTTCACATGGCACAGCCAAACACTCTGTTTGCAAGTTCTTAAATAAATGAACCCAGAAGAGATCTCAAATCAAACTAAACCCTGCTTGTTTGTGTGTTCGCTGCAACTGATCCTCCTCCACATGAAGCCAAACCATAATGGCTTGGCTTCGGTTTATTTTGTAGCCTTACTTGATCAATGAGATGTTTCAAGAAATCCCTCTATCCTCTTTTGGCTAAAATTCTATTGTTTTTCTTGAATGAATGTTGAAGCTGTGATTCTGCAGACTCTACAGCATCAGTGCCAGTTTTGTGTTGTGTTGTGTTGTGTTAGGCTGTTATGTCCTCAAGATACACAAAAGAGTTTGACATCTCCCTTTCTCTTGGAGTTAAGCATCTCAAACTCTATCTAAAATGCAGCTAAAAGGAAAAGTTTGGCTATTCATTAATGGTATGTATGATATCTAAACTGCACCCTGACGTAATGGTCCAACAACCTCACCACAATGTGAAATATGAACCATACATTCGCACACAACATGCTGTATGTCCCTCTTTAAATATCACAATTAAGGGGACACATATACATACTGTCCAAACAAAGATAGTTCTAGAAGATCCAAGATAAAGAAACCATCCACCTTACTGCATTCACAAGGCTTGCTTATACTAGTGCTGGCTGATGAGATGAAGTGGGTTACACAAATGTGACTAATGACTTAACATCTGACAGATATTCTAAATGTAGCACCACCATCTAGTGTTCATTTCTTGAATTTCTTGCACATGACAGCAACATGTTTATAACATTTCCCTGTGGCAAGGAATAATTTGGCAATTTGGGCAGCTCATATATGAATATATAGCATAATCAACAGCAGAATATTAAGTTTGGTTACTTATCACTTCTACTCTTTTCAAACAACATGTTTAAAACTTTATACTCACACAGGAACACAAAGAGTAGGAACAGTACAATTGTCTCAACATTGCCACCAAGTGGAGGGGGAGAAAATTTCGCATTAATGCTCATCTCTTGCTGCAAAGCACTAAAAGCTTAAAAAAAAAAAAAGAAAAAACCCAACATGATACAAGTAAGATGGGCTGGTTTAAAAGATACACAATGAGCATCATAATATAATACCTGCAAGTTTAGGGGCCATAGGATCCTCTGAAACGTGGACAGGGCCTTCTTTGACCTCCCCAACTTTCTCGGGCTGCTCTGGCGTAGCGAGGGAGGGAGGCACAACTTCCACAACATTCTTTACCTCCACAAAGGCCTGAGGGCCCCCAGGCAGAGGCTTGGAGTTGTGGAAGAGGCTAGCCCAAGATTTGGGGAGGTTGGCAGTAGGTGCAGCTGGAATCACAGGCGAATGGGCCTGCTCTGTCACTACCGACTGGGCAGCGGAGTCTGGGCAGACCTGCTGAGCCTGTTCCCCACTCTCACAGTCTTCTTTGTGTTCATCTGCACTGATGGTAGTATCAGGCTCTGCTATCCCATTGGCCACCCCGCTGTCTGCTAGCTCCGTTCCCTCCAGTTCAGTAGTCTTAATGGAAGTGGTGACAGAGGGGGTGGCCACAGCAGCTGAAGGAGGAAGAGGGGATTTGGAGCGCGGGCTGTGTGGAGTATCTGAAAGTTCGGGGCTCTGTGGAGCCAAATGATCTGGCTGCTGATCTGCAGTCCTCGGTCCCTCTGTCATCCCTCTGCTTTGAGAGGAGGATGAAGAGGAGGAAGTTGCATTGTTGCCATCTGATAAAGAGGCAGCTCCACTTGTTAAGTCCAAAGAAGAGTCATCAGGGCTATCACAAGTCCTCTGATTGGCAGTGGATGTGGGGGCAAACTTGGCTGCTGCCACAGCAGCTGTAGATGTTGCCGTGGAGACAGGTCCAGGGGTGGAAAGTTCAGCCCCTGATAATGCCTTACCGTCCACATCTTCAGCAATGTGGTGTGGGCCGCCCATTGCATGTCCGTTCACCAGTGCTGTCACAGGCGTCCCATCTGCTGCACTGCTGCTGTTACTGCCCGTTGACGGGTCCAGGTAGTTGTAATACCCCGGCGGTCGCTTTTTCTTTTTCTTCCTCTCTCGTTGTCCCAGGCTGCCAGGGAGTCCGTCCATGTCCTGGCAGGTCTGGTGATTGTCCATGGCTGAGGCCTCAGAGTCAGGGCCATCCAGCGAGTTGAAGTCAGCTCCATCAGGGACATCAGCTGCTGGAGGAGCCGTCTGTTGAGCCTTCTGGGCCGGCTGGCAGCCCAGGATGAACTCTGGAGCCTGGGGGTTCAGGGTGCTCGACACCTTGAACAAAGGATCGTTCACCCCAACAGGCTTGGAGTCCATCACCTCGTCAACACCAAACTCAATGCGTTGATAGTCTTCTGCTGCAGATAACATTTCAATCAATTAGAAACACAAAGTTTTGGCTTCAAATTCAGTCTATAATTAAAACACACACTTTTGTATTTTACTCTCTGCTGAGGAGTTTGCTTCTAAGTCCTTATTTCCGAACAACTAAGCCATCATCCAACAGAGGTCGTGGGAGCTCTGTGACAGTATCAGACATACCACTAAAAAGAAACAAATCCTGATGGACCTATTTTTGGCTCCAACAACTACTGTTGTGTCTATGCTCCACTAAACCACAATCCTTCTGGGCTTATAGGAATCCCAGGAATGTTGCTAAAATATCCACATTTAACTTTCATAATTAGACAGAGTGGGACAATATTGTTTTGGGCCTTGTGGGCTAACGACAGTAACAACGCACAGGGGGTTTACTGTAATGCTTTGCCATAAAAATTATCTTTAAAATCATTTAACAAAAAGGCAGGCTTGTTTAATTTTAATTGAACAGTAAGTATAGATTAACATGATGCAATACAGTGTACAAACAAAACAGAACAAGACAAATGATGGCACACTAGAAGGCCTACCTTGTACATTCCTGTAGGACATTACTCGCCTTCAAATATCAATCATGTTTTTTTTATACAATATTCTTTTATAGATGGCCAAATCTACTTCTAGAGGATTCAAAAACTTGAGAACTAGAGACTTTGAGGGGAGTAGTTACTGTCAATCATTTTTTTATTTGGCAACCAGAGGCTTACAATCCCCTGCCAATCAAAAACTTATTTCACCAATAGTTTTTAATTCAGCCAATCACTTCACAGTATTATAAGGGCAATATCTTGGTTTGCAGATATTAACGTTGTTTGGCTACTTCATATTTAATCAATTCAACCAGTTGTAATGATACAGCAGGCTAACAATAAATATTTTAAGATTGTTATAGTAAATTGTTAGCCTTGAGAACAACTCCCTGTTTAAAGTGGAGGTAGACAACTTTTCCACTAGCTAGTGCACTAGCTCACTAGCTACAACAAGCATAGCTTGCTAGCCTAGCTATAATAGCTAACACTGTCTGCTTATTAACTCCTTGATGATCAATCATGGTACAATATAACTTTCACTACTGCTCATTTTAGAGGGATCACCACAAAAAAAAATCATTTTTATGGTTAAGATTATCAAACGAAGACTTCAAAATGTTGATTAAAAACATTGCCCTCTGTTAATACTTTGACTAGGGTTAATGCTAGAATTGATGGTCAGGAGTGACAGTCCACCTGTCTAGAGGGCATGGGCACAAAAAAGAGGACAAGTCGCCTGGCTCTGAGCCCCTAAGCAGCCTCCAGCAAACCCCACTGACTCCAGCTGTGCTCTGCTCTCCGCTAGAAGAACCAGCAGGAGGTCAGCAGGGTCTGTCAGCGTTCCTCCGGTGTCAACACAACCCTCAGTGTGGAGCTGTGGACTTGCTGTGTTCCTTTTAAAATGAGCAGTGTTTCAGCTACTACCATATAATCCATCATCATCATCATCAGGTAGTTGATGAACAGATGCTAGTTTAAAAGTTGACTATTACCACTACTGTGAAGTGACTGGCTGAATTAAAAATGATTGACAAGTGGTTCAGCCAGTGTATTGGGGAATTATGTTTTTGAGTGACAGGGGACTGTTAGCCTCTGACTGGCCAAATTAAAAATTATTGACAGTTACCCCACCCTTTAAAAGCCTCTGGTCTGCTGAGATAAAAACTTAAAATATTTCTAGATTATTATTATCATTATCATTATTATCATTATTGTTATTATTATTATTATCATATTACTTTTATTGATTTGAGATCTCAAATTACACTCATTTTTTTCTGTAAATCAACTATAACTGTAATTATCTAAAATATCGCTTATAATAGACTGCACATTAATGATGCACATTAACATGAAACATTTTTTAAAAACTGAGTACTTTTTATACTACCATTTTAAAATGTCTCTTACTCCTTCAAATGTAGAACAATGAGCACAAACAATTGTAAGTCATCATTACAAAACTTCATTGTTTAGTTAAAGTGTGTTGCATGGCAGCTTAAATAGTCAATTATTATGCAGAGGCGCAAAGTGAAAAAAGGTGAACAAACAGGAAACATTAGTAAGTGCAAATCAGAAAAATCATCCAAGTGGCTTTGACATGACACAGCTGACTGGTCATCCAAACTGTAAACCCTGATGTTCGGCAGGGGTTTAAGTGTATGAAAACAGCAGTTACTTCCTCTACTGGGATTAGAAGACCTTCTGTTAGTGTTACTGAAATCACACTTCATGACTGTAAAAGGCATTCAGTAGTAAAACCTTAACAATGCAAGACTATATATGTACACACATGTTAGCAATCACATAAAACCACCACTATGCCCTTAGTACATAAGCTGTGATTGTTAAATCATACGAAAGTTCAGTCTGATTTTTAACTCAACTTGGAGCCCTGCAGTGGTGAAAATGCATTATATGCAAGAGAAGGTAAGATACTTCATAGTATCTTGAGCATGCAAAGCTCTACAGATTTTACCAACAGGCAAGAGAAAGAACACAGGCGCAAGGTTTAGAAAGCCACCAGTTTTTGAAACCTGGATTTTGAGTTTTACAGCAAACGTACAACAGCTAGTCAAGCCACAGGGTGTCAGACTCCTCAACTCACCGCAAACCTGCAGTCCCATAGACTCCATAATATAAGGTACAGCAGGAGTGCAGTAACTTCCTAAATAATCAATACAAATCAAGGTAAGGCAAATGTCATGTGCAAACGGGTACCATTTCAAAGACAGGTGGCTGCTATTACATTTTTTTTGGTGGCTCGAATTCTAAAAATGAAAATGGCTGACGTATTCTTAAAATAATAAAATGGTCAAGAGCTACTGGGGTATTTATTCTAAACAATGTATACTTTATGTATAAATATAAGCAAAAATAACCACATGGAAAGTATCTCTCTCTTAAGCAGGTCAGGTCAGTTGAGACTCGACTTCTATCTTACATTTATAAGACCTGCTTTGAAAAACTACAGTGATGCTGACTAAGAGAATGACAATAGTCAGCTCCTGAGAGAGGGTAGGGTATTTATGATGCTAATAAAATTTCATAAGAAGAAAAAACGTAACATTATCAAGCAATCAAGTGTATGTAAAATGCACATACCAGAAGACTGAGTGACGCACGGGACTTTGTCGTTGAACGGAGGAAGCTGTGGAGGCAAAATGCAAAATTAGAAGTTAGAAAACAAACGCACACACATCTAAATTTCCAACAGTATTGAGGAATTAAGTTCTGAAGCATTGTCTACCAATGGTTAAATATTTAAGACGATCATCTAGATCATTTGGGATGTAAAGAACGAAAACTGACAAATTTATAAGATGCTTCAACAGCCATTTTAGGCACGGTGTTCATTTTGAAAGGGGCTACATCGAGCATTAAAGAGAATCATTGTCAACTAAAACGGGTACCTTTGCAATAACATGTTTTTGCCTCAGTTCCAAAGTAATAATTTGAATTACAGTCCCCATGAAACCTGTTGCTTCCTGTTAAAGAAACCCATGTTACAATGATTTATTAAAGCAAAAACAAATACAATCCAGCTCCTTACCTCGACATAACATCGTGGAGTCACAAAAAACTGATTGATCTCATCAGGGCTGAATTCCCCGAAGATGTACTGTGGGAAAGAATCAATACAACCATTAGTTTAAAAGAAAGGCAATATTGTTAAAATCCCCTTTTCTCTGAATGTATTTTCCTGCTGTTGTGGAAATTCAAAATTAGGGAACTGATCTTGAAAAAACATTAAAGGAGTCACAAAGCTTGAGATCCTGCATCACTATAAAGAAAAGATCAAATCCAGGGGAAAGTACACAGTGGGCCACACACAGGACAGGGCCTTCCACCTCACAACTGGAACCGTTTCAAAGGGCGCTGTCACTGGATATCTAGGTACAAGGCCTCTTACTAGAGTCCATCATCACCCAGCCAAGAGTGCACTGCTAGCTTGTGCAAAGGTAAAGCACAACATGAAGTGATGAGTCATGCAGTGTTATACATAAACCATGCACACAAACAGCTCAGATCTGATTCCCCGACTGTTTGCTTTTAGAGAACTAGATTTCTGAGTTGTTAACACAAGGCAACCTTATCCTCAAAACAAGCCAAAGTAGGGGTACGTATGCTTGTAACTTTGTGTACATCTGTGACAGAGTAAAACTAACGGTGCAGTCTCAGCCTCTTAGACAACAGAGAGACATCTGACTTGCCTGTTTGTGATTTTGAAAACAACATGATCCAGAGAGAGAAAGTCTGTTAACAAGTTCTCCTTATGTCAGCTGAAAATCTGGAGTGGAGCAGTAAATTGTCAATAATTAAATGATGAATCAATCACTTGTAAGACAAGCGCGTTGGTGGCTGATAGGTTGCACAATGAACAGTGCTGCATTTCTCAGAGACACCTCGAGATATTTGTTCAAATACACCACAAACAAAACATTTACAAAACTATTATTTACTGAAGGGGTACTATATCATAATTCCTATTTTGTAAACCACTTGTATTTATGTATTTATGTGGAGATAACCTGCTTTCTGACTACATTTAACTTCATTCCAGTTATACTGCATTTACAAGAACTGTAGTTATTTTGGGTTTCTTTTTCTTAGCCACCGAACTACTGCAGTGTTTGCCTACATAATGCATATGCCACAGATCTACCGCAGCCACGAAAACTCTAGTATAAATGGATTTTTTTAGTGTAGGCAGAACGTCACATTACTCATTAGGGCTGTACCTGAGTTAGAATTATATCAGTCGAATCAGATTTGGCTGTTCAATACCAATATTCAACTACTTGTTACTTTTTTCCCATACAGAGTTTGAACGAGGTTTAGCAGGATATTCAATGTCACAGTGGGATTCATGTAATAAAGTAAACAAGCCAAGCTAACGCGTGCTAACTCAGGTAGTAACGGATCAAAATGTGCAACACTTTATGCCGAAATTAGATATCAAAATAAAGCCAGAGACTTCATTTCATTGAGTTGCTGTGAGCTGTAAATTTGCCACTTCTAAGCAGAGGGCAGAAGATAATGTTATCTCGGAGCCTGACGAGGCAAAGCCTCTCTTCATCCAGGCAGCTGCCTCCGTCTCACGCAGGCTCACCCTGCACTGAATTGCAGCATCAACATGAAAAGCACTCACTCTGCAGCTAAATCTGGGGACAGAAACATCCGAGACTGACCAAAAAACACGACTACTCAACTTGACGGAATCTCAATCGACTGAGGGGTCTCTGACTGATGGTTCGAATCTTAGGCTTTCAGGAGGCACCCCTATTACAAATGTCATATTTAGAGAGGTTTGATGAGGCCTTGAAATTTCAGGAGCGTTTTTTAAAAAGAAACTTTGCTGACTTTCAACCAGCTCTGTGTTACTGCGGTGTGTGCTGATGAGCAGTGCAGGCAGAGGCCAAACACCATTCATTTACACATACTGCGATAACAAAGAGCTGACTGAAACTGGCAAAGATTCCCTTTAAGTATATGTACAAAAGTATGCGGATCATGAGAAACGTGTTAGTTGATTATTATTCGGGACAAGGTAAGGCAGGTGACCTACATGCATGGTAAATCACTTACCTCTGGCTACAAACAACATTTAAATGGCCTGAGGGCTTTAGGCTCTCCTAACAGCTCCCCTCCCTCAAACACAGGCTATACATTCTGATTTTATCAAAGTGCTTGTACCCAACAGAACTCACTTTGCACTTGGAAGTGTCTGTGTGGACAACGTTAATTAATGGGGTACCAATAAGCCCATCGACAGGCATTGGCACTGTAATTAATGGTGGGACATGGAAGACTCTCAAAGGTGAGCTCCTGACAGAAATGAAAAGAGCAAGATGCAATATCCCTTCTCTTCCATAGTTTCATATTCATGTAGAATATTGTCTGTTACTGTTATTACTCCATACAACAGATATTAAATAATATTTCATATAAATAATTAACTGCAGTTGTGCTACACCCCCTGACAGATGACCTTTACACCTTCAGGGAAACCCAAGTGTCCACACGTGCATGCAAAACACAAAGCACCAGAGAAAAGGTGAAATGAACTCACTAGCCACGCCGTTAATCCTCTCAGTGCAATAAACAGTGGGACGTGAAAGGGGAGGCCCAGAGAAAAGAAAGTGCAGCTAAAGCATATGTAACTCTTTGCAAACGAGGCCCCACGCGAGGGCCCACATTGCTGAAATGGCACTACAAGCGACAAACAGCCAGGCGTAATCCAACGGCCTCAGGATGGCTAATACAATCACAACAGAAAGAATGTCCCTTTGCCTCTTTCCGCAGGCGTGCCACACGTACCACACTAAGCTTCCCTTGCTGTTGGTTTGGACTGAGGATTACAACAAATTAGCCATCTGTATGATTTCAACACAGTTTAGTGACGACACTACACGCACAACAGGGATATAGGAAGGGTCTAACATAACAAAGGGCAGGGCTGGAATAATATTAGAATATGAAATGTATATTCTTAATAAGCCCTACTACCATTAACTAACTTTTAGTGATACTGTGTCTCGCAAGTTTCAAGTACGACGATGCAGAACAGGTGACCAGAGGTTGATTCTGGTGAATAAATGAACATCATTATTGATTATTTTTCAGTTATAATTGATAATCTATGGATGTGAGCCACTGAAAATAATCAGTGAACTAGAAAGTTTCTACCAGCTTTGTACACAATACGCATGAACTCCCTGAAACTGACTCTAGGGGCACAAAAAGGTCCCATCCGTGATCTCCAACATGTAAAAAGTCAATGCTGTGTTCGCATGTAATCAAGCACACCGTAGACGGCAAACCCGCTATTATTTTAGTGGACGAGAGCAGGATGGTAAAATTAGAGGAGACCGGCAGAGAATACTGCCAACTGCCATTAAAAGTTAAAATATTTTAGCTTTTTGCTATCCTCCACGACTAAATTCACAACAGGCTGTTACATTGGTCCTCCACAGAAGGAGAAAACACGGGCCATATGCACTCCACATTACTAGAATAATTACATAAAATAATAAATACAAAATCATTTTATTTAAAAAAACAAAACAAAACTCCATTCTTTGTAATCAAAGCAACATCCCCATTACAACATATCATCATACATGTTTCGTTTTAATGTCTTTCCATTCCGTCAGGTTTGTTTTTCCCGTGCCGTCCAGAAGGTGCTGTCCGTGTGCCATCTATCGTCTGCCAGATTCTATCAATCTTCTACATGACACCTGACACACAAAGCAATTAACTTTCTGCATACCAATCACAAAATAAACACCTGGGTGGTATTTTTAAAATGTTCAACAGATAAAAAGATATAAGCACTTTTGATTTCCACATCTGTTGTACGAACCACTTCTCTTCTGGCAAAATACCCCCAAAAAATATGAACACCACTTAAACAATCTGTGTAGTCCAACCATAACAGGAGATAAAGCCAGCACTACTGTGCTTGTTCTCTTAAACTGGTATGCAGAGTTATTAATGGACAACTTGGCTGAGCGTGAAAATGCTGCAGTGCCACTACAAATAAGGTCAGACTAGTTTTGAATGAATCTCCAGAGCATGCCTGTGCCTGCATATTGGTGTGATGTAGTAATAGGGTGACATATGAAGATTACACAGCATGAAATAGAGAGGAGTATGACAGTGGAAGAAAGGAATCCTTGTTATTTATTCGGCTGGAAAACAGGTGCAAAAGCAACCGCTCAGCAATTCAACAATGAAGTAGCACCTTCATTTATTGATATGCCATAAAACAAAAGAGATAAAATAATGATAATGGAAAGTCCCGAGGACATCACGTACTGTTACATACATGTTAAACTTCTGCTGTTCCCTGTACTCAAACTCAGCCATTCCCCATTAACAACTATACACACTTCCACATTATTAGGAACACAATGCTAAAACTTACACAGCCTAATCAGGAGTCCTACAACACACACTACATTATTACAATTGTTTTGAAGAGGTGCTAATTCACACTTATAGTCAATTTAGAGCCTGTTATTTGTGTTCCTGTTGAATTTTAATGTTCTACACTGTGAGGCATTTTTTATATTTAGTCTTGTTAGCATAAATAGCGTGGCTCATAAAGGATTCTCAGTTACCATTGTGTGGCATAATCAACTTTGTGAAGAGCTGCAAAGATTAGGTGATCAACAGAGCATTAATTATCAACTGTTTTTGTATCAACTAACTGTTTTGTTTGTTTTTAAAAAGGCAAAAATGCATTGTTTCAAGCTTCTCTTTTTCCACTCTACTGATAAACTGAGTATCTTTGGCTTTGGACATTAATTCAGACAAAACAAAACATCTCAAGACCTTGGGCTCTGGGAATTATCACTATTTTCTGACATTTTATAGACTGAATAATTAACTGAGGAAATACCTGGTAGACTTGTCGATAATGAAAATAATCATTAGTTGCAGCCCTAATTTTGTGTACAGCAACATTTAAGCAACAGCATGCTAGCATTTAGCATCTTAGCATGCTTACAGATAGAAAAATTAAATGTTAACAGTTAGCATGTTAGTGTGACATGCTAAGAGTAACATGTTGATCTCAAAGCACAGCTGAGGCTGCTGGGAATTCACTTATGGATTTTAAAGACGTTTAGTTGATAATGGGTGTTGAAAATTGGGAAATATGATTTGTAGCAGATGAAAAATCAGGCAAAATGTTTACTACAGCAAACCTGAACGTCTGCCCCAAATTTAATGACAATCCAAGCAATAGTTGAGATATTTTAGTTTAAACCTAAGTGTAGTTTCACTTATGGAGCATTGTTTAGTGCATTTTCATTCTGTGTGCATTTGGCATGACTAAGCTGAATACTTTGGGCAACTTTAATGATAGTCTGATTTGTTTGCATACAGTGTATAGTTTCCCAAGGGAGGTGGAGAGGATTACTGTGCCACTCACAGATTTATGCTTTGGCGGGACACTGGGCTGAACTAAACAGAGACGTTAAAAAAAGGAGGAGGATGTCGCAATAATAGTTTAAAGTTGCAAAAGCTCTTATACCGTTGCCTTGGGTAACTTATTCCTTATTACAATGAACACAGCCGATGTGGTTTATTCTGAAACTTCTCTATGGCCGCATTTTAGATCCATGTCAGGCAGACATCTTTGTGCATGCACTGGGAATAAGCTCCCTGTTCACACCTCAGACATGTCACCTGAATGCAATGTATAGCCCCTTTGTGTTTTATAATAGTTTTTGGAAGGCAGCACATTTTTGGGCAATAAGCTATAACATGTTGTAGCTACACAGGCAACAAACAACACAGTGTCTTGATGAATGAACTAAACCAATAAGTTAAATGTTAATGAGGGCATTTCAGTAGTTTTTTCTTAAGTTGGTCAAGGCAACTTTAAAAAAGCCCGACATTCACACAAATTTCTGACAAACCTTTTCATGATCAACTGTCAAAACTAAACACAGTGAACAAATAACTGTTGTCATGCTTATATTAAACGTGATGTTTACAATTCAGCTTTTAAGGATTGTTTTATTTGTTGTTATCGTCTTAAAATCCTGCAAAGGCCTCCTTAAGTGTAAGGAAATATACTGATTTCTGTCTAAGCGTATCACTGAAACTTTATGGGACATTATTGCGACAAATCTACAAAAAAAAAAAAAAAAAAAAAAAAATCACTGACATAATTTATCCAGTATAATTTGTCACTGTGACTCAGCTTTAAAAATTAGTAAAAAATATTATAAATATGGATGTTAGCACTACTTTTAGGTGGCATATTTGCAAGATAATGCACTAATAAGATGAATACTACTGTCTTCTGTTGCACTTAGTTGTCAGATTAAATCTGTTTTTTTCTGCAGATACAAAGCAGTACTGATAAGGTATTCCAGAACTACCTGTTTTGTTCATACTCTGAAGAGCAATGCTTTTTTTGCTGCTGGTGTGTCTTGATCTGCCTCCCATCGTTCGGCTGCACCGCCTGTTCATCCACTTTTCTTCAGTTTGGATTTGTCCTGACATCTGCTGTCATGCTACTCTCTTGTGGAATGACTGAGTTTTATTTTTTCACTCCATTCACATACATATTTGTCATTTCCCACAGAGTAAATTAATGTGACAGCAACACCGCTGTTGATTATTTTACCCAGAGGGCGAGCCTTTAAAAGGAGTTTTTGTAACACTAGAAAAATGGTTGCTAAATGGGGCAACCAGACCAAATGAAATAGTTGACAAGGGTCCAAAACCAGTTGCCCCGAGGAAACTGGCCAACTGTCAATATAAAGCCCTGTCTGTCAAACAAACTTTTATATACTGCGCTACTCGTTCTGTGACATTTATACAGTATGTGACAATAAATTCCCCATCAGGGAAGGATAATTCAATATCAGTGGGTACATGTATGTGCAGGCCAAAGACATGAAAGAGCTGACAGCTGTGTTTGAAAGTAGCAAGGCGGGTTTTCTCCTCAAGCTTTCACTTTGCTGAACAGTGAGCCAATAGAAACACTCAATTTTGAGCACAGGAAGAAGTGTGAAAGCATGCCGAAATAAGTCTTCAACGAGGTTTCCCTTCCTTTGGTCGTTAGTCGTGTTCCGGTTCTTGAACTGTCAGCAGGAGTTTGAACCCACTGAAGCACATCTCCATGGTTTAAAGTTTCAATTTTATTGTGTGGATTTTCGTCATAAGTTGAACTTTACTTCAGTCAATAACTAGAAACTTCGGACCTGGCATGTCTCTGCATGCACAGCTAGACTGCAAAATGGGCCTTCCCACATGATAGCTAACTTCCTCAGAAATGACACCTAACTTGCCAACTTATCTACAATCAAAGTCACACGGGAACCGGCGGTGAAGCGGCACTCTCGCTGTGTGCAAGCTCAATCCTGCTTTTTAATTGTTTCCATATCACATAAATCTTCGCTAGCAACGAAGGCCCACACTGTCGCATTTGAATTTAGCTAACCAGCTAGCGGACTGCCTGCAAAGTGTAACCACACCATCTGTGCAGAGCTGTTAGCCTGCTACACGCTAAGTCAACAGCAGGGCAGTGTTATACCCTGACTCACTACTACTAGGAAAAGACAAATTATCTCACACAAAACCTTCAACAAAATCCGTTATCATGCGTCCTGACTGCCCGGTGCAAAACTAATCTGCAGTTATTCCCAGTTATGAAAATATGCGCTCGGGGAAGGCCTGTCGCAGCACTGAGCAGGTGGGCCATGCATACACGCAGCAGTTTTCTGTGTCGCTTTTACCCTGGGAAATAACACATGACACTAAATGGGCTCTCACACCACAGCGTCACTAACATTAGCATAAGCACACTTTTGTGTTCTCTGGCTAAACGTGACTGCCATATCTTAAAAAACTGCAGCAGATAGTAGCGCTGTCTCATTTGAATGGAGGGACCTAGGGCCTGTTAGCTACCATGCTGGTGTGGTGTTTCAATGAGGCTTAGGGGGGGCATTAGCAAGCACTTTTCAGTTGTAACATTTTCAATGACACGACTAGCCAGATGTTTGAAATAACAACACGCACATGACCAAATGGCCACCACGGTATGGCACTATTTTAGGTCAGAAGGTTGTACAAACGAGGGGCGGTCGCGGGTCTATAAATAACGTTACACGCCGTGCAGCAGGAGTTGTTTTGCAGGCTAACGTTAGCCTGCTAGCTTAGCTACCTGGTTGCTGTAAGAAGCCATGCTCCCGGTGAGATTTTCTCTCTTCCACTGACAAGATGAAAACTCTCCCGGGAAGGTGTTGTAGGTGTGTAATGACCGTCACAAAAGGTGTCCTACTTCGACGTCATTGTCATTTTCCCAACGTTGTCCTGGCAGTCGTGAGTTTCGATCCATGTAATGCATCAGCACTTCATGCTGCTCGCCTTGCCGTCACCGCCATTTCTATCTAGCCTCTTCCTCGCTTGCTAGCCAACCCAGCGCGCGGTCGGTTGTAGTGGCAGCGTGAGCGCAAGGAATAGCGACAAACACTTCCGGTGGCGGTTTGATCCCGGACTTCACAATAAAAGTCTTGATCTTTAACCATAGATGATCCCCTCCAGTGATGTACTGTGGTTTGTGACTTCCGGAGTGCACATGGAGCAAAACACATTTAACTTCTATACAGTTATTATCACATTATGTTTGCCCCTTTCTCATCACACTATCGGTGCAGTGAAACTGTGGGGGGAGTTTTATCAATCACATTAATTTAGGAATAAGTCAAACATAAGCACTGAAATAGAACATTCCTTGGCCAAGTATTTATGTGCACATAGAGGCAATCTCAATGATCTTGCACATTACATATATATACATACATACATACATACATACATATATATATATATATATATATATATATATATAGCATATATATATAGCATATATATGTATATATGGGATCAGCACAGTATCGCAGTATCTTAGCTGTTCCTAGGACTGCACTCCTCAGATGTTGTACCTAGAATTCGCTGGAGCCACTCTCTCTATTTGGGAGTCACAGTCCCTAATACTTCTATTACCACTGGGACCACTTTGGACCTCATCTCTGACATCTTCCATTTGTTCCTTCAGCCACTGACACTTTCTATGATGTGACTGTCAGCTGAGACTGCCACATCTACCACAACTTTCCTCTTTTGCCCCTCGTCAACCACCACTGTGTCTGGTTGGGTAGCTAGCAGCTGCTTGTCAGTCTGGCACTTGACGTCCCACAGGATCTTAGCCCTGTTTTTCTCAAGTACTTTCAGGACTTCTAGTCAGTACTCAGCAGAGATGTTCATGCAATGTGTGTGGGATCTATGGATGTATAAACAACCTACCTCCACACTGACCAAGAAGCAATCAATTCTGGATTACAGTATTTTGTATTATTTAATAGTGAAAGATTAAATGGTTGACTGTATGGATGATATCATTTTAACTGCCTAATTTCATTGTGTTTTTTTAATGATACAATGACAATAAAAGGCATTTTGATTCTGATAAGTAATTTAACTATTTTAATGCCAAATCAAAGTAGTGGGACTTATTACATTTGAACACCTTTTTATTACTTTTCTCACACATTTCGTAACTGTGTAGTAAATCTTAAAAATGTCTCAGAATATTCTTTGCCAAAATAAAGCTTTCTTCCACAGTGAAAAGCTGCAAAGCAACAGAATTAATGTTTTATCCCACATTTAAGTGTTTTTACCTTGAAGGATATATTCAAATGTATCCCTTTGACTAGTAACTGTAATTTAATTGTATATATTTTCTCAGTAACTGTAAGTAACAGCTACATTAATTTTTAGGTTTAACTAGTTACATGTAAGGGCGGTGTTGTGGTGGTTAGCACTGTTGCCTCACAGCAAGAGGGTTCCTGGTTCAATCCCAGGAGGGAGCCCTTCTGTGCAGAGTTTGCATGTTCTCCCTGTGTCAGCGTAGGTTTTCTCCAGGTACTCCAGCTTCCTCCCACAGTCCAAATACATGCAGGTTAATTGGTGAGTCTAAATTGTCCATAGGTGTGAATGGTTGTCTGTCTCTATGTGTCAGTCCTGTGATAGTCTGGAGACCTGCCCTGGGTGTACCCCGCCTCTCGCCCAATGTCAGCTGGGATAAGCTCCAGCCCCGCCGTGACCCTCAAGAGGATAACGGTTACGAAAATGGATGGATGGATGGATAGTTACATGTAACTAGTTACTCCTCAACACTGTATACAGTAAGACAACAAAAGTGCAGAGTGCAAAATATGCTTAAGATTTTCAAGCTCAACACCTGGCTCTATAAACTGACCTATTGTGTCAGTTAAAATTGTTTTTAATTAGTTATATTGCCCTTCCCAAAAAACTGAGAGTCAGCCCAGAGCCTCTGGGCCTGAAGTCCTGAGCCAGTTGCCTGTACTAGCAGGAAACCCAGCTTTGCTACTGCAAAAACTATCTACCATATTCTGTGTGGGGTTATTATGATCACTGGTAATATACATTCATTGCTGGGTTCCTAAAGGAAGGTTAATCTTAGAGGAAATGGAGACATCCTTTCCCTTACAGCTTGAGCCTATCTCAACTAATAGCAGAGACCTTGCTCTTCAATTGAAACAGAAAATCTTTAACCTTCTTATGGTCATTACTTGTATCAGAGAGCTGCATGAATAGACTCTATCAAGTCAATCTGTCTCATATAATTACAGGGTGTGGGTCTGAGAATGAACTCATTGACACTGAAGTCACTTTAAAGAGACATTTATTTTGAAATATATTCATGCTTCGGAGGAAAAGCTGGAAGTAATGTCGCGGACTAACAGCACGAGCTTCACGATTGAAGCGTGGCCGCGTGCGCTCTGTGCGTTCACGTCCGGGTTGGGGCATGAGTCGCAAGATTTTTGTTTTTGGAAGTTGGGCACAATTGAAACAACAGCTTTTAATAAACTTTTCGGTTTAATATTGAACTCTAGTGAACCTGCTTGTGTCCTATGATGTTTGGGTCAAACTAAGCAGTGAATTAAACGTAGTTGTCTGGTTTAGTGTGTCATAAACAATAATAAAGTGCTTACAGTGTAATAAAGTATAACAATACATATGCATAATGTATACCTCCAACACACTGTGATGTTAAACTACTACAAACTGGGGACACAAGCCAAAAACACATGTTAGCAGCAGAAATTTGACTTTTCTGTTTACAATGAGCTCTATAGTAGTGGGCGTGGCACAGCACAGGTGAGAGGCAGCAGCAGGAAATCTCAAACAGGAAGCTGAAAAAAACCTGGGCTGTTTTTTTCTCTCGGCACAAACGACAACAAGATCACACGGAGTCCAAAGGTAGGAAATAATAGGCTGATATGTCTTTTATTACTAATGAGCCTAGATCTAATCACTTAGTAGAAACATGAAGCCAAAACACGACTTCATTTCGCAATCAGGAAGAGCGTTGCTATGAATTGTGGGCCTCTGTGGGCTCCCATGTTGAAGTAAAGTAGGCCTGATCATGTAAAAGTGTAATTTAGTTTGCTGGCTTGTGATCAGATTCATGAATCCTGCTGGAATCTCTGTGGGCCCCTGGATTACCACAACATATCTCCTTTCACAAGTGGAGACACCTCTCTGTCTGAGGTCCTGCACCTTCCCAGCCAGCCATTCATCTTCATTAAATAATCCTTCATGCTGCTTTACTGTCCACAGTGGCAGCTACAGCTACACAAGCCAACCATCCACTTTGTTTATGAGGGTCTGTAATAGGATTCATGCCCATAATCTCCTTGTGTTTGCAGGTGAGGATGCCAGAGAGGGGACGACACCACCACCACAGGGGTGATGAGTATGACGAGTACAGGAGCAGGGACAGGGACTACTCACACGACAGAGACCACGCTTCGTACGATGGCAGGGGTCGCAACCAAAAGCCGAGGGACGTGGACGAGAGAGGCTCTGCTGGTGACAGGAGGGGCAGACAAAACAGACAGAGGGACGTGACACCTGTCTCTCACAACGAGCCACCTGCTTACAGAGACCACGAGCGTGAAGGACCCTCGAGACTGTACTGTATACTTACTGTCATGTCATCCTCAAACACTTTTTTTAACCATCTGTGGCATTTTTATGTAAGATGTTTGTAGAGAAAGAATTAATTCCATTGTATCAACCTTGTAGGTCCAGAGACACCTCAGCGTATCACCCTGAAGGGGAGTATTATGAGCAACAACACAAACAAGCTCTGTACAATCTCAGATACCTCTTAACCAGCAGAGGCAAGTATAATTATTTTTTAGGTCTGTGAAATGTTTTATTTATTTTTATTTAACCTTTATTTACCACAAAAACCCTCTTTTACAAGAGTGTCCTGGCCAAGACAGGCAGCAACATAAATTACAGACAGAAAACGTGGCACAAAAATACAGAATAAAAATGTACAGTTCTAAATTACTACAAAGAAAATCCAAAAAGTTTGTTAATATATACTAGAGGTGAACTATATGACTACAAAGACCAGCTAAGATACACCGTGACATTGGCATATAGACGATTGTGTGCAAAAATCTTGCAACAGTGCTTTGAAACGGCCGAGAGGAACCACTGAGAGCAACTTTAAGTCCTTATGCAGAAGATTCCACATATAAGAAGCTGCATACATAAATGTTCGCTTGCCAAACTCTGTACGTACCCTTGCTACAGACAGTAAAAACATGTTATGTAAATGGATAGCATAGCCATTTTCAAATTTTGCTTAATGTACACACATAAATATGCTGAAAGAAGGCCAATAGCTTTGAAAACAAGGGAATGCCAATGAAAAAGTCTACGAAATTGTAAGGAGAGCCAGCCAACCTGAGCACACAGGATACAGTGATGAGTTAGTGGCCTACAGTTGGTAATAAACCTCAGTGCACCATGGTACATGGAGTCCAGAGGATGCACACACTGGGTGGATGCATCCATATAATACATCGCCATGTTGGTTACAATCAAAGCATGTGCTCAACAACATTTAAAAATTTCTAGAATTTATTAGAATGGCCCTCAGATACATTAGACAATGCAAAATGTAATATGGTTTTGTTGCATTTATCTCCACTTTTTAATCACTTATTAAACATGTTTTATAATTTATAAATTTATTTAACCTTTATTTTATCTGGAATATTACCTCTGAGGCTTAGAATCTCTTCTGCAAGGGAGTCCTTGACAAACAGCAGCATAAAGAGGGAACTGCAAATTACAAGCGGGCATCAAATATCCTCCTGAGACCCGAACTTTTGTCCAGCTCTTTGGGATCAGTAGGACCTGATAAGTATAAAAAACTAAACATTGTCAATAATAATAAAGTCTCTACATCCTCAAACGAGACGATAATAAAGTTCCAAGGTCCTTCAATGAGCTGATGATAAATTCTTTATGTCCTCAAACGAGTACTTTCTAATTAACAGTGTCTTAGCTTGTTCCTGCGCTAAAATTTGTGGGGCGTATCAAACTACAAACATTATTAATTATAAATAAACAAGTTTCAACCATCAAATGTGATCAGGTTTTGGACCTTGTCCACTTTTGTGTCAGCTGCCATCTTGTTTTTACATGGATTGGGCACAAAAAAAGTGTCCACGAATGAGGACAACAGGTGTAAATAGAATGAAGTATAAGGTCCAGTAAACCCAGAATGTGATGTCCTTGTATGAGGACACAGGGTGTCAGGAGGATATTTGTCAATTTTGCTTGAAAAAACATTTTTTGTTGACAAATAAACAATAAATTTAGTCATCATTTCAGCCCTAGTCTCACCACGTTGCTTCACATTAACGTCAGTATTGTATTTGTTGCTGTGTCTCCCAGGTCTCTGCCAGCTGATGGAGCTGTTTTTGAATCTCCTTATTGTCATCTGTGCCGGAGTGCCATACAGCAACAAAGGGGGTTACCGTGACCTGGCCAGCCTTGGTGGGGTCTACCACTATCACTTTGGAGGAGCCCAGGCCTTCACCGGAGCCGATGCAGAGAGGGTGAAGGAGCTGGACCGGCTGTTCCATCAGCTCTCGCGTCCTCCGTATGTCTTCACCATGGCCTGCGGTGGGGTTCTGATGATCTATGTGTGTGCCATGCTAGCCCTGGGAATTTTTAGGGTCCCATACCGCTGGCCCCCCGTGCTGCTGGGGGAGGCTCTGGTGAACTTCCTGATCGGCCTGGGCTACATCCCTGCGCTGGCCTTCTACTTCATTAAGCTGCAGGGGACCTACAACGACCCCATCTGTAAGGAGAGAGAGCAGATGTACAAGAGCAAAGGGCACAAGGGCTTCGAGTGCCAGTTCCACGGTGCGGATATCGCAGGAGGTCTCTTTGGGGTGGTGGGGGTGTTTGTTTTCATCTTCGGCGCAGTGTTAGCTGTCAGAGCGTTCAGATCAGTGCGGGAGCTGAAGAGGCAAAGAGCAAATGAGGACAATCATTTTTGAGGCTTTACTCCGTGGCATATTTGAGCAATAATGGATCTCTTTGACATGGAAATAGTTTTTTATTGTCATATTAGGTGTTACTATGCATTCACTCTTGTTGAATGTGATCTGTGAATTAGCTTTTTATCCATTTTTTTACTCTGAACAAGCTTTTTAAATTGATTTTGTAGAATAATTTTTTATTCCTACCGCTTATCCAGTTTACATACATGTGTACTGTCTGTTTTATTTTCTATAAATGTGTCACTATAATAAAACACTTAAATTATACCTTTTTTATTACTACTTTTTTCATTAACTTTGTGTATAATAATACCGGCAAATTAAAAGGCAGGTTGAGAAACAGTTTGATCGGCAGAAATAATCCCAGAATATTAAGTCCTTCTTTCTAGAGGAGTCACCTGTGTGACTGAGACAAACAGCAACTTGCAACCAAGAATATCAGACGCTGCCAATGATTTTAAGAATTTCTGATATGTTACCCAGGTACAGTACCCTGGGGTTTCATAGACCTAAATCTCTTTTAAAGTAAAATAATTTGTGTTCCAGATTAGGGCTGCCACTAACGATTATTTTCATTGTCGACTAATCTGTCGATTATTTCTTCGATTAGTCGACCAATCATTTCATCAAAAAAATGTGTTAAAATGTTGAAAAATGTCGCCCTGTCTCGCCCAAACCCCAAAATTACATCATCTAATGTTTTGTTTCATACTCACGCCAAAGGGTTTTAGTTCACTGTCACGGGAGACTGTGTAAAGCTGCCAATATCTGAACGTAAGAAGCTGCAGTAAGAGTATTTTGGGGTACTTTTATAGTGCTTTTCTATGAAAAATGACTCAAACCAATTAGTCGACTACTAAAATAGTCACCGATTATTTTAATAGTCGATTAGTCATCAATTAGTCGACTAATCGTGGCAGCCCTATTCTAGTTTGAAATTACTGTGCATTCCTTAGCTCTCAGCGAGTGAAGCTCAGTCTGTAGATAACTAATCCTGGCAGATGGATGTCGATACAGAGGGTTGGACTGAAAAGCTAATTCTGGAAACACAATGTCTCGAGCTCTTGAAACAGTGTCACATGTATTTTCTGCATTACAGGAAACAAGTGTAGCACAGCCTCATTGCTTTCAGTGTTGTCCTACAACTTGGAAGTTTTTATTCTGTCTTGGTTTGTGTAAGTGAGGGCAACAAGTGACAGGATAGCTCCTCCATAGACTCAGTTTAAAAGAAGCAAAGAGTCTGACTTTGTTCCTCCTGAAAGGTCTTACATAATTTACAAGAAAAACAAATGATACCAGGACTTTTGTCACATTAAAGATTTTTTTTCCTATAATTTGCCTGCCATTATACCAGAGTGCAGGGTGTCATTCAGAGTTTCACCAATAGATGTCAGATCTATTGTGTTCAGGGATTTACTCATGACTTCAACGCATGAGACTGACTGTGCATATCTCACAGCAGACAGTGTCTCTGTTTTTTATGATTCTTTTTATAATTCTGAGTACTGCTTCTGTGCATTTACACCAGCCCTATTCAACTGGCAGCCTGTGGGCAAATCCTGTTCTGTTACAGATACATTTTTGGGAGTCAGTTCTGTTACAAATAAAAACAATTTTAAACCTGAAGAAAAAAAAAATCACATAAATGACGTACATTTTGCCACAATATACCAGTTGAGCACTCCTGTGTTTTCAGTAAGAGCCAATCACCACATGCATTATTGATGAGGAAAGCCCTCCTCTGCATGTCGCTGTTGTTGCAAGCTTGCTGATGACTATGGAATAAGTTTTGAAAATGTGGTGGCATGTTGTGTCAAGTGAACATACAGTATTGTCCGTCCCCTTGGCCCTGTGCTGTCTGATAATGTGGCCCCCTGAACAAAGTAGTTGATTAGCTCTGATTAAGGCTATCTGAGTAGGAGAAAAGGTCTATGGCAGTTTTTACTGGCAGTAAAAATGATTCACTGTGGGATTTTTTAAAAGGTTAAGAAGGTGACTGGGGTGCCCAGTAGTTCAGTGTTTAGGGCAGGTGTCCCATGTACAAAGGCAGTATCCTTGCTGTAGCGGCCGCAGGTTAGATTCCAGCCTGTGGCCATTTACTGTGTGTCATCCCCTCTCTTATTCCCCCCTTCACGTTAATCTGTCCCATAAAATAAAGGCAAAAAATAATAATAGTGCGTACAGTTATACAAAAACAAACAAAAAGTGCCATGGGAGAATGTCCTGAACCCTCCGACAGAGGTCCAGGCCGAGGCCCGGGTGTTACAAAATCCTAGAAATGCCCCCTATCTTGCCTCCTCCAAGCATCTCTGGTCTGTGGAAACTAAGGGAAATATATCAATAAACTCCTATTACATTATGGCAAAACAAACTGTAGACATCATATCTTATATTAACCAAAAAGAGTCATTTTGATGATATTTATTGGCATGAAATCATCATAAAAACGATGAGCAAAATGGACACTGGACAAAAAAATTCACAGTAAAAAGTTTTATTGCTACTTGGCTTAAAGTTAATTTAAAAACAGCTCGTCTGCTCAAAACTAATGATAGCAGCATTTCAAATAAAAATAACGACCGTCTTCCACTCTCAAAGTTCAAGGGGAGTACAATTCTGTCTGATACACAGCAAAAGTGCTCATTGTTAGTCCTGTTCCTAAATAATACATCTTTTAATTATTCAACATAAAACTCAATTTTAGCATTAATCTGCATGCTAGAATAAAAACCTCAAAATATTAGATATGCTCCATTTTGTACAAATAAATCACATTTTGTATGTTCTCTATGCTTTTCTGATGATTATATTTAGAGCATGCTTTCAACACTAAATACAGCTTTAATTAGTACCTTCAAATAAAGTACCGTGGTGAGTGACAGTTTTTCTGTAGAATCCCAATCACTTTAAATTCTGTAGCAGAGAGGGAAATATAAATTTGCATGAAACAATGAAGTACAAAAATAAACATCGGCTTCTTGGCATCGAGAAAAAAAATATTCAAGCATTTCTAGAAAATAATGTACAGAAAGGAACTGTGAGATTAAACAATGGCTACTTTGGTCACATGTTAAACAACTGGAGCATCTTGGATCAGTTTCATTCACCATACCCACGCAGAATTACAGTCAGTCCATTGTTCACACGGGCATGCATACACTTACTGAACGTGTGCACTTAAACTTCATTTTACACGCAAACACAGACATTTTGCAATGTAGTTGTACAGGGAGCTTTTTAAGTTGTGCAGAGAGGAAATGATCCCTTACAGTTAAGAAATGAATCAGCAGTTAAAGAAAACAGACACTGTAGCCTACTCAAATACACACACTCTCTATTATGGTGCACGAAGGGGATTATGAGTGTTTCACGACTGGACCCCCTCCACTAAAGAATTAAAGGGAATATCGTACACCAATGCACTGTACCCTATGCTCCCTCGTCCTGTAGCTACGCATACAGTTGGCATATGTACACGCACACTGATTAGTCTACTGATGGATCACTGTTATACTTCATGTTGAAAATGTATATCAGACAAGACAGTGAGTATATGGGTTAATCAGGAGACAGACTGTACGACTGTATGAAAAAACTGACCGAGGTGGTTTTGAAGAGCACTAAATGTAGCAGTGCATTGCAGTCCAAACAAAACTACGCTGTGAATGAGCCAAAGGAAGGGACGCACTCAAAAAATAATCAGAGAAATGCAACTTACACACACAATCCCAATTTACACACATCACACATACACACATCAGTCATAATTCATTTTCAGACACATTGAGAAATAGGATTCTTGTAGATTTAGGTGATGGATGATCTGATACACATGATTTAATATATATACAGTTGACACTTTGCATATTTGTATGAGCGAATTCCCACCATTTTGTTTTAAACCTCAAGCAAAGTTCAGTCTCTCCTCTCTGAACGTGCTCAACAGTTCAGTCCTCCAGCTCGTTTCATATGTGTAATATTAATCACAATCATAATCTGTCTTATAGCTTTTCTAGCTCCTCCTGTGGCAGGTTACACCTGTAGCGCCCATCCATGTTCAGTCCATACAACAGGCGTGAGTCCCAGGCGTTTGGCATCTCAGATACTGCACAGTCGGATCAATAAAGTGACTGGAAACAAACTCTTAGCCTCATCATTATAAAATATTATTCACTATTGTTCATTTTAGAAAAAGTAAAATCCAAAACTTTAGTTTGAATCAGTCTCTGAATTCTAAATAGCATAATAAGGATAATATCGTCTTGTTGCTGTGGATTATAGTAATTATCATCTTAGTCTATTGTTTTCAAAACATGTAATTATTGTAGAGGGATTTTAAAATCCATTTTCAGGTCTGCCTGTATATTTAGTAATCACTTAGCACAATGTTTCAACCAAATATCAACACTGGCCATGAATAACAAACAACAATAACTGTAATTCCTCATCTTCCGCCAGCAGGGGGCCCAATAATTCATATTTATATCAAGTAAGAGTGATGTTGGCAGATAGTGTTAGAGTAGCTAAGGAGTAGTGGTTAACATATATTATGCTGTTTGTGGTGCTGATGTTGAATTTTAAAGGAACAGTGTGTAAGATTTAGGGGGATTCAGTGGTGAAGGCTGCAGATTACAACCAGCTGTAATTTCTCTTGGTTAGAATTCCTTCAGTGTTCATTGTTCAGGTTTTTTTTTTTACTAGGGCTGAATTATCCACAGAGGGCTCTTCCTCTCCAAAATAAATGCACCTGGTGATTTAAAGCAGTACAAACAATTTATAAAGCAGTTTCACACTAAAAAGTCAGTGTTTTTCTGACGTACTCATTGCAGATAGGCTGCTAAAAAAGTGCCAAAAGTGCAGTTCAACAAACAGCCACTTGAGGCTGGCTCTACAACTCACCCATTTACATTTTATTAACACCCATTTCTAAGGTTGGGACCACTTGAGTGACAGGCTGTCTGCAGATAGTGTCCTCAGCTTCCCAGTAAGATCCATCTATCACTCTTCCACAGCTCAAACCTCTTGACCAAATATGGTCACATCTGGCTCCAAAAAACAAAGATGGCTACAGCCGAAATGCCGAACCTGAGGCTTAAAAATGGCAGTCGACAAACTAATGTGTGATTTCTCTACCTATGTCCATTATTTTTACTATGCAGCTGACATGAATACGTGAAAATGCGGTTGGCTCTATCTAAAATAATGTTTGGTCTGTCTGTTCTGGGCTACTGTAGAAACATGGTGGTGCAACATGGCCATCTATGTGGATGAAAACCTGCTCTCTATGTAGATATCAATGGCTCATTCCAAGGTAACGAAAACACAACATTTCTGCCAGTATATCCCCCTGAGTCCCACACACTGGACCTTTAAATATTATTCTGTAAAATTCAGACGTATTTGAAAGCAAACAGTAAATGTTTGTCATATTAAAAACACACCAAAAAGTGAATGTATGTTGTGAATGAATTGCCATTATGTCACTTCATCATCATTTTTGTTGGCTATGTAGTCGTAGACAAGAGGTGATATGTTGGACTGAGGGAAGCCACAATAATCCCAGCACGCTATGTTGAATATCTCATATATTAAACTCAAATATACATAACTCTGAATATCACTATTTTCTATTATATGTACAAAGTGCTTTTAACCGTGTGAGACAAAAACTTGCAAAGAAAAGATTCAGGCTCACACATCAATTAAGGCTTCATCACTGATTTCTCACTCATTCTTGAGGAGCAAAGAAAGGACAGAGGGGCTGCTTTAATAAACAACAACCCCCGAAGCACAAGACTTCAGTCACAAGCAGAGCATGAGTAGGATGAAACAAAGGGCCTCTCCTTTAAAAAAATACTGAGTAGTGTTTACTTTAAGGCTAAAAGGGAACACTGAAAGGTCCAGCTATGCAACAGCTGTGGAATGCCAGAACCGCACCACTACCAAATTGGAGTGGCAACCAAATATATACAACTAATGTAGTAATCACTGACATGAGCAATTACCCAGCTTTGGCCTTCTTACAACCACAGCAGCCCCAGCAGAGCTGCTTTCTCTTTTGGCACAAGGTGGGGAGGTTCAGGAAGGGGCAAACTGAGGTTTCCAGGGCTCCATAACATTTACCTGATAATTCAAATAATAATGTAGTTTTTACCAAATCACTTTCAGCTGAGATAAATATGACTGGTCCTAAAAATAATTTAAGAAATGATTGAAAGTTGATGATATCAACTGCTGAAGCACTGTATGACTTAAAGGAATACGTCACCCCCCAAGTGACCATGTGTATATCAATTACTCACCCCGTGTCATGCTGAATTTGTGAAGAAAACTTGTTTTTCTCGCATTGCTCTGGTGAGCGAAGAATCCAAAAATGGAGAAAATTGATGATGAAATGACATCACAGGGGTCCACCTTTAACAACAGCCAAACTATATCAGAACATCTGTTTATAAACTCACATGACTCATGCAGTATAATCCAAGTGTCATTTATCCAGTCATATGCTCAGTGCCCCCCAAACAGGCAGCCCTTTCTGACGGGGATCTTAACTGGAAGTGAAACTTATATATGCTATCTTTAAAGCCAGACTCCACCAACAAAAACAGCAATTTCTTTTGTTAAGATTATTTTTTTGGACTTTTTGCCTTTAAAGTAATACTTACCTTTCTGGAAATTTTACGCTTTTCTTTGTTTAGAATGCTATTAATAAGCTGATGGCACACTAAAATGTAAGTGAATTCCACCAGAGATAAAAACTCATAATTGTATCATTCTCATATGGTTCTAAGAAAACTCCGACCAATTGGCTGAGCATCCTGTCTGTCTTCCCGACGCATCCTGTCTGTCTACCCCACGTGGAGGCCTCCGACTGTAATGTAACACTCTAATGTAACATAGACTGTAACATTATATATGACAACACAGCATTCAGTTGCTAACGGTTAGCATACTGTTTGTTGTTTGTTGCCAGTCACCAGTACTATCTAACTTTAGCATCGTACGACATAATGGTGGAGAGGGAAGTAGGCCTTTGGAGGGAGGTGGAGTTGTGGATGTGTCCAAACTAACCTTTCAAAATGTCAAAGAGGCAGTGGTAGAAAAGCAACTCCCATGTTCAGTGAGGTAAAATGACTATTTTTGTCAATGGAATCTGGCTTTGAAGAGAGCATGGATAAGGTTAACTTTCAGTTCAGTTCTGCATCTGAAAGGGCTGTCTGTTTGGGACATACTGAGCATACGATTGTTCAAAGACTTGGAATATACTGCATGAATTGTGTGACAGTTTGTAAACAGATGTTTTCATATAGTTTTGCTGTTGTTAAAAGCGGTCTCCATTTTTGGATTCTTCGTTTACCAGAGGCATGCAAGAAAAAAACATTTTCTTCACAAATTCAGCACAACACGGGGTGAGTAACTGACATACAAATGGTCATTTGGGGAATTAAGTGCTCCTTTAATGAGAAAAAAGCATTACTTACTTATACTGAGAGACTGAACCAGTTCATGTTGCAGCACCTTACACTGCTTCTGCTGCACTGACAACCATTTTTTCCATAAACTCTGTGATCTGAACTCTACAGAAGCATTGCCTGATCAGGAAATAGTATGTATGCGATATGTGGGAGTGAAAAACAGAAATATATCAAATATAGCAAGGCTTAATCTGTTTCTATATCCCAAATCTCTCTGTGTACTTGTAGAACTGTGGGTTAACTGTGACATCTCATGTGCACAGACCAGATTGTACAAGAAAGTAGGGTTTTGGTTCTGTTTATAATTGGCCAAAATACCACACCCTGAAAGTCATCTGGATGTGTGGGCAGTGTATTGGAGAGCGAAGCTGAAAAAAAGATTGGCTAAGATGTAAGAAATGTCAATAACTGGATCTGCCCGCAGGACATGGATGGATGTTTACATATTTAAAAGGGTAGCAGCCTCCAAAGTTTGGATATACTAAAATGTACAATCTTAGTACCAGTGGACATGTATCATAACATACAGTACATACAAATACTGTATCTATCCTTCATCTCTCGACAGTACACTGTATAATTACTGATTCGCTTTTGTGCCTTGAGTGGTTTGTTCAAATGAAGAATGATGTCCAAACATCCTGGGGTCCAGTGACCATAAACAGACTAAATTTAAATTAAACTTTTATTTCCTATGTAGTTTTTAAGGAGATCATTTGATCATGCACTGTCACAGATTATAGTTATAAGGATTTTTGAACTCTACAACACATCCGCTCTGTACAGTTGAATAACTATGATATTATTTTGGACAGCTATTCAAAATGCATTGCTCTAAATAGCAATAGTTTTCAGCCTCGGTGTCAGCAGCTCAAGCACACCACATCAGCTGGCTGCTAGTTTTTGAGTGTGTACTATACTGTATAGAATTAATTTATCCTATATAGAAGATTCTATACATATTGTGTGGGAACGCTAAAAATAAAACCCGACCACAGCATTCCCTTTGATGTAAATGCAGTTATTTTGTCTTCACATCTTCTAGTCCTATGTGCCTTACAAGCATTTATACTGTCTGATTTCCTTTGTAAGCCACAGAAAGAGGAGGAGAGCAGAAGCTGTGCCAGTGCTGGTCTCTTGGAGACACTGTCCCTCCTCCGAATTTAACTAACAAGCTCACATCCCCAAACACAGCCTGGATGTGGGGGAGCTCTAGGCTGAGTCGTCTGCAGTAGGCACTTTTTCAAGTTTCAGTCACAGGGCTTCTCTCCAGGACCTGAGAGACCACGGAGCCCCTGGAGAGGATATACGACCTCACTGAAAACAATCTCCCGTACACACCCTCTAGATTGCTTGCTTTCCAAGTAAAGGGAAATGTTGCTGACATGTTTTAACACATGAGATATCCCATCTCAAGTCAGGCTTTTTTGGTCTGTGATAGGCGGTCCTTTTCACAACGTCTTGTTATGAATTGGGATTTTGGTCGCCTGCATTTTGTTGATACTCAGACCATGCACAGAAACCCTTTTTTACCTCTCATTAATGGCGTAGCATCACTTAGTGACTATCAAGGTCCCACAGGTTTGTCTTGTCCTCACAAAATATCTGAATGGCAACTTGAATTAGAATATCCCCCATGTATGAGAAAAATTTCCTCTTCTTCCCTGGAATGGCACATTCACAGAATTCCAGTCACATGGCGCTGTGCTGTGTCCCCCATCTCTAGAGGGCAGTATCGTAGACTTCCTGCTGAAGGATGGGGGTCGGGCCTGGACCTGGGACCAGGTTGGAGGCAAATGCAGGGGGGTGTGGATGATCCCACACGGGGTCTTTTAAGGAAGGGGGTATGGATGGCAAGGGGGGGCCTGAGACTAGAGGGCTCTGGCCTCTTAGCTGCTCCCTGACTTCCTGCTCCAGACTAGGAGGCACAATGAGCTGGTCCTCAGGGTCCTGCTGTGCTGGGGCAGTGAAGTAGCCAGATTTCTTCTTAGGAGCCTCCAGGGCCACCTCGATGAGATTATGACTGTCCTCAGGGGCTACAACCGAGCCATTGGACAGCTTCTTCGCAAACAGACTCGATGTGGAAGGAGACTTTTTGAGGTCTGTAATCTCTCTCCCACATACAGCCAGTAGGCAGCCGTTCGTAGCAGAAACCACCACGCTGTTCTGTCTGCGCATTTTGCCATTGGGATAGTCAGAGCCTCGCTTTTCAAGGTCCAAGTCTTTGGGGCTCTCAGGGGCCCCTGACCGTAGTTGGAAAGCACAGCAGTGAATGTCTACCTCCACTTCTAACTTGCTGCCATTGGAGATTACACCCTCAAGCGGAGCTTCATCATCACTGTCCAGGCCGTTGTCAGAGTGGTTACTTGAGAACGTAGCAGAGGAGGGCTGCCGCTGAAATAGGCCTGGGTGGGTTCCTGCCACAACTGAGCCTGGCACCATGATCCCACACAGTGTTGTAGCAGGGTGTAGGCTACAGCGTCTCTCTGGACGGGCTGCGGGGCCAGAGGACGGGTGCTCGTCTGAAGCGGTGGACCCCGCCTCGCTGCCCACCTCTGAGGCTGATGTCTCACTGTTGAACTCAGAGACAACCCCACTGCTGGATGAAAGAGTGGCTGGGTCACTAGGACCTGGGGTCACGGTCACAGGCACAGGCACAGGGGTGGGAGGGGGACCCCGTGGTTCAGTGGTGGAGACAGGTAGCTCACAGGTGCAGCTGTCCTCACCAATATGCAGGGATACCACTGCAGCCTCGATGTTGTCCTTGCAGCCATAACTCTGAGCGAGTGAACACAGCTTCTTGGCAGCAGCGCGAGGATCCCGCACAGCCTGTACAGTGCACACGGCCTCCTGGTAGGAGACCCGTTCAAACAGCGCTCGATTCCCCAGGATCAAGAACTCATCCTGGGAACAGAGAGGCTCAGTGTGTACCCAGGGCTTTGGAAGCACCCAGGGAGACAGATAAGAGCAGCCCAGCAGGCGAGAGCAGCATGTCACTCCACTCACTTTGTTATCCTATAAAACAGAAGTGCCATTAGAATTGTAGATGAGAGTATAGCCTCATAAAATATGCACCTCTGAATATGAAGCTGCACATTAACACTAGATCAAAAGTTCTACATCATGGCTCAAGTGTAAAAACAGGCATCAAACATACATAGATGCTGTGTGTTACCTCGGTAATGATGGCTTTACTGAGTTTAACCCTCTCCATCTCCTCAGTGCAGTTCTCCAAGCTGTAAACCTTGGAGAGAGGTACAGGTCTCCCATCCCGGCACAACACTGCCTGGCAGGTACCCACATTGGCCACAGTGAGGCTCAAGTAGCCTCCTGGATCTGAAGGCTCATGGTGAATATAACACAGCAAGGCAGAAGCACCCAGTTTCTGGCCAGCCATTCCTAGTTTCCTGTCCAATACAAAAACAAACAGAGCTGCTGACAAACTCGTTAAGTCAATTATCTGTTTATCTGCAAGTACAAAAAAAGGTATTAATAAAGACTTAAAAACAAATCTGTCTAACCTGTGTGAGGTGATGAAAGTGTTGCACATGTACACATTGTCAGTACTGGAGTGCTGCAGTTCCTCGCACAGCACATCTCCCATGGTGCACTGTAGCAGTCGAGGCACTTCCTCGTTGCGGTCTCCGTCAAAGATGCCATAACATGCTTCCACACCGTCTCCAAATCGGTCTACAGCCAGCACAGACACACACAACCTGCCCCAAACAACAGATCCACATTAACAAACAGATCACTCCCACACAGAGGTAAACCTCATACATACTTAAGCATGCGACACAGCAGCTCCAGATCAGGGGGTGACATATGATAAAAGACACAGCTGTGTGGGCCCCTGTGGCGGCCATGACCCTGGAGGAGCAGCCAGGCTTGCCGGGGCTCTCAACACTGATGCACTTAACATAGTTACAGATATTAAATCCAATAAAACTGTTAGGCTCTACTGCGCCAGCTACTCTTAAAAAGGTGCATTGACTGCCCTGGTGCCAGTGCTAGGCGCCTGCCAGTGATTCAGTTATTGACTCAGTGGTAGACACCTGCTCTGTGCTTGTGCAGCAACACCCAAACACACAGATGTACAGTATATCCAATGCACCAAAGCAACATTTGAAGAGTGATTCTGTGCTTGACAGCAGAGGACCCAAAGTAAAGCTGGCCACTTTATTCAGACTATAAAGACTGGGGGAAGAGACTGAACTATCTTCATTTGTAAAACAGATCTGGTAAAACTTTACTTGAAGGTATCTACATAAGGGTGACATGACACTGTCATAACTATGACATGACATGGTCATGAACCTGTCATAAACATTATGTACATGTCATAAACGTTTATGACTGCTGTCATTAAGTTTCATTCGGTTTTTGCAATGACAAGTTGACATTGTTTGGGTTGTTTTGATTATGACAACTTGACATTAATTAAAGTGACATTACCAGAAGTTGTCTTTGTCATGACAAGTTGACTTTAAATTTGTTTGGGATGTCCTTATAATGAAAACTTGACATTAACCAGGATAGGTAGGTAGGTAGGTTTATTTGACAACAATTAAAAAACACACATGAGTAACTGCAGATGAGTTTCACATACATTAATTAAAAATCGTCGAGGATTAAAATACACAATAAAGCCCAAAGGCTTATTTCCATTGTGGTCCTCGATGACATTACCAGAAGATGTCTTTGTCATAACAACTTGACATTAACAAGAAATGCACCTCTTTTTGTGTTTATGACAAGATGACATAATGATTATTATTGTTATGACAAAGACTTCTTCTGGTAATGTCATCCTGATTAATGTCAAGTTGTCATTATAAGGACATCCCAAACAAATTTAATGTCAACTTGTCATGACAAAGACAACTTCTGGTAATGTCACTTTGATTAATGTCAAGTTGTCATAATCAAGACAACCCAAACAATGTCAACTTGTCAACAATGACACTTAATGACAGCAGTCATAAACGTTTATGACATGTACATAATGTTTATGACAAGTTCATGACAGTGTCATGTCACCCTTATGTAGATACCTTCAAGTAAAGTGTTACCACAGATTTTTTACACAGTGAATACTTTACATGCTCACTAATATTCCACTATTATTCCAAATATGACAATATTCCAAATTTGATACTAATCATGTAAAAAGCATTTCTGTTTGGATATCTGAATCAGACCTTTTTCAGAATGTTAAATTTTCTGATTAAGATGTGGATATGCTGGTATTATTCAGGCTTTAGGAGCGTTATTTGGGCATGTATAAAGCAAATGTGGAATATGTGTCTCAGTTGGGGTTTGTACTGAAGTTTGCGGCTCACGGCGTCCTGCCTGTTTACGGTCAGCTCTGTTTGTTGTCCTGGATGCATTTTACACAAACCAACTAGCCAACACTTTGCAAAGCTGAGAGAGATGCATGCCCAGAAGAAAAGTCCACATTTCTGATCGGCAGGAGAAACACACCTACTTTTAAACATCACGAAACACTTCGATATCAACAAGTTTTTGGATATGTGCCAATATTGCAACAACAATCTTTTCAAAGTGGCTGAGGGAATGAAAGAGGGAGGCTATGTTTGCATGGTTGAACACATCTGCCACCAGTGCAAAACTGAAAAAATCCTATTTTGATGCAACAAAGAAAAATGGCACTTGACACTTTTCCATATTTTGACATGATAAATGTTATGGCATATTAATCGAAATATGCGTGGCTGCATGTAAACTGGCTATGAGTGGAGTATTTATTGTCATTAGCCCTGTTAACAGCTTAGTCGGAATATTGTCTTATAAGATAAGATAAGAGCAAGGGAACATTGTGTGCATGTAAACGTAGTCAGTGAGTACTTGTGTAGTCATTTGATTTACAAGTTTGGCGATTCAGATAGATACAGTTTGCAGCTGACAAAAATTAAGTTATTTATTTTCACAAATGAACATAGAAAACACACAGAAACACAAAGCAGCACTCACTTGTTCCTTTGTCCGCTCATTTCAGAGTAACCGTGTTTCCATGGAGTGGAGGCACTCTGTGAGTCTCCTGCTGTCGTGGTGGCTTTCTGGTCTAATTTCAGGGTGGTGATGTGACTAAAAAAAGAGGAGAAATACAGTAGAAGGAATTGCAGAAGGAGGTATACATATATGCGTCAGTTCCTCACACAGCTATGTTATATTCATATAGGTTTCACACATAAGAATGATGCCATATCCCTCCAGTATCCAGTAACTACAGAATCTAAAGCCAAGGTGTTGGCGCTTATATTTCATGCAAATTTCAGTGAGTTACCTGTAATTATTTTTGACTGCTCTGGGTTTAATGACTCACCTGAAGAGGTTGAGAGTTTTGTGTTCCAGGATCAAGCTGCTGTTGCCTGTCAGGTCCAGCTCTTGCAAAGTGGCAGGCAGCGAGTCGGGCAGCTGGATCTCAGTCAACTCATTACAGCTCAGATCCACAAGCTACAAATGTACAAAACACACATGAGCTGACACAGGCTGAGCATAATCACACACACACTGGTCAGGCAAATAAAACCAGAACAAGTCTGACCTTGATCTCGGGCAGGTTGAGGATCTCTGGGAAGACAGTAATGTGGTTGGAGTGTGCAATGAGGGTGTGCAGTCTCTTACAGCTGGACACAGTGGAGGGGATCGTCTTTAGCTTGTTGCCACTTAGATTTAGCTCCTCCAGCAGCTCCAGCTTACTCAGCTTACTAGAGACACAAACAAAAAAATTCCAGTGAGCTAATCAAATCGACTACAAATTATAATGAACACTGATGGACAGGAAGGCAAATGTAACACACCTGGCAGGGAAGGAGAGCAACTGGTTGTAGGCGATGTGAAGGACCCGCAGGTTCTGGTGTCCAACCAACAGAGCACCGCAGTTCTCATTCAGGATGTTCCCCGTCAGGTAGAGCTCCTGCAGCGTGCTGAGGCTCTCCTCTGATGGGCTGCTGGGAGGAATACTTTCCAATGCATTGGCTGACAAATTTAAGTATTTTAGGCTGTGAGGGAAGACAAGTTAAAAAAAAGATACATTAGTTTAAAAAAGTGTATGCAGATATCCACCCTGCCAATTATTGCATCCAATGACACCCAATCCTGCCCCATTTACAGTGGATTTTAAGAAGCTGAAGCTAATTTTCTGAGCAGAAAGTTTTGTCGTTACGGCTGATATTTATGTCCAAAATACTTAAGAGTTTCGTAGACTTCTCCAGGGTTTGGGAAAATATTACATATTTTGTACAAAATAGTACCAAATAAAACAAATAATGTTATCAAATGTAACTTTTTCTATACAATTTAGGAGGCATTTCCCTCCCCATGCCCTTTCCACTATAGAATGTATACAAACAGCAAACATTTTAGGTCAGAAATTGAAAGTCCACCTATTTCTGTCTTTTCCACGGTATTGCTATCTGTACTGACGACATGACATTTGATCACAATGTCACTATTACTGTAACAAAGTGAATCATGAAGAAAAAATGCAAATACAATTTGACTGAAAGCTGGAGTAATCAAGTTTTGTCCCCCCCGAGCAGTGAAGAGTAATTACACAAACACTGTCATGCTCGCTTATGACGTATGCCTGCAGGTGAGCTCGCTTTATCTCCCTGCCCCCAGGTGTGCTCTCTTCAAGTCTTATTTTGACTTTTATCCTCACTCTGAATACAGAGTAAGCATCCACTCTAGAAACCTTTCTTGGATGCTTCATAGGATTTTCCGCCATGCTACTAGCTGCTGCTCCATCACTACGGTCTCTCCCCTCTTCCTGCCCCATTTAGCTCTGGCTGGTTGACATAAAACTCATCATTTCCCCTGCGGCAGCGCAGGAAAGTCACCACAGACACCCGACAACACGACTCCGGCATACTGCAACACACAGAGAGCTTTCCATGGCGGCGATAAGTTTGATTGGCATTGTGTAAGGTTGTTTGGAAAGGGCTTGAATTTAATAGACATTAATTTAAATGTGAAAGTTAGTTACATATAAGTAAGTATGCACATAAATACTTCATTATCTTGTCTTTGTGCTTTAATTTTGTCTTAAGTACTTCAGGACATTTCTTAAGAGCAGGCAGTGGGGGTTCATTTAAATATTTACTGGAGAGCTTACAAACTACAACCTCTAATTTACATATTAGTAAGCAAAGGGTATTTCCAATTAAGATGAGATTCAGTAGTATGTAGCAGCATGATTAACATTACATCATTACAACAACAGCTGCAGCAATGTACCATATTGGTAGCACTATAACAATGTGATGTGCAAGTGTTAAAGTGCAGGCCAGCTATTATGTACAGAATACAGGACATGTTGTGATGTAAATGCAAGAATAAATGTAGGTTGTTGAATTGTGGGTTTAAGGTTGATTATTTTTCCCCCTCTCATTTCCACCCTTATTCTTATTGAACCTAAGACGATACCTCTGAACAAAACTGTTAATTCATCCCTGCAAGTGGAGCATTGATTTATATGCTGTTGAACCTGCACTGAGAGGAGGGACAGTAATTTGAGCTCCACTGATTCTTATGTAATTGATGTTGTTAAGTCATTGTCTGTGCGTATCACATACTGAACAGTAATAAAACCTGTCCTTGTGACACACGAGGGAGTGAACCTTGTCACGCTGTTGTTTTAAAACAGAGTCCAAAGTGATTAAAGTGCAATGATACCTCTCTGCAAGCCACAAACATTACAAGAAGGTTGACACCTCACTGGCTTTGTGGCTTACTGGAATTGTGCGTGTCTGTGAATGTGAATAGTGTTAATTATCAACTTAGTTTCTGTAGTCATATATTGTTTCTGTGAGTCCTGAGTGTAACTTTTTTCCTTTGTAAGCTGTGCAGCTTTTAGACAACATATCAGGAAACCCATCATGCATCAAGCAGTCACTGCCTTTACGTCTCAGCCTTTGAGACAGTAAAGTACATTAGGCCATTTGAACTGCTAATGGGTATTAAGTGATTTACCACACAGGAAACAGGAGAGCAAATTAAGCTCTAGTTACGTTTTGGAATGCTCCACTGATCTTTACCACAATCCCTACATAGAGTCAAGAAAAGAAAATATGAGCTGAAAACTGTACTGCAACCACACTGCAGGGTTCAAAGCAGGAAAACCGACTGCTAAAGGACACAAGTGAAAGCATAAACAGTCTTGAGGACAGAATGACAAAGGAAACAGGAAGATCTGTAGAGAAGAGACTCACTTTAAGGCCTTGTAAAACAGACTCTCAGGGAGCTCGGCTAGCTTGTTGTGCTGGAGGTCTAGGGCTTCCAGAGGGATGTGGTCAAGTAGGTCAGGCACTCTCTGCAAATGATTGTTCCCCGCCAGCAGCTTTCTCAAACTCAAGCTGTTGAGCAGTCTGTCGGAGGCCAGAAGAGACATTAGAGAGCCAGATTAGGACAAGGAAAAAAGAACAGACCAACAAAAACGCAACAAACCAAAGAACATCGTCCCCCTGTGCAGACTACTGACTGGGGGGGAGGGGGGGGGGGGTGTGAGGAACGGCAACCCATGCTAACTAATCCACCAATGACCTTTTCAGCTTGGCTGCCTGAACAGACCAGCACAGCGGCTTTTTATTCTCTCCTGAAACATCACAGAAGTCATGAGTGGGTACAGTGGATGGAAGAATATTATCTCATTTGCAAAAGCTTTTCTGACGTCTCATTCAAATGCAAATGCATGTGTAGAGTGTTGAGGGCTGGCAATGAGTGATGGTGACTCTGAGCCAAGCACTATAGGAAGGCAATATTTTACAGTTGCAACAAAAAGACACAGATACTGACTTTTACAAAGAGACGAATACCAGCTGTTATTGGTGCCTTGTTCTTTCCATGGTTCCACTACCGTAACAAATGCTTAAGATGGACATTATGTAAAGCAGTTTGGCAACAGAGTGAGCATTTAAAAGGCATGACTGTGTGTAATGTGACACCTGATCTTCTAATTCTGGACACAAATGTTTATTACATGAGGCTGAATACATTCAAATTCAAAATAAACCATAACGTTCCAGCAGGAAGGGTTCAGGATTAGTGACAGAATAAGGTCACTAACCTGGAAGGAAGCTCAGACAGGAGGTTGTGCGTGACGTCCAGCATCTCAATTTTTCTGCAGTCACACACCCAGTCCGGAAGGTACTCCAAAAGGTTCCTGTCTCAACACACACACAGTCACACACGGAAAGACACACACGCAAACACTCAAACTGAGCGGAGTTGGCATTTTGCTTTTAATAGTACAAATGAGTAAACAGTTTTGAGACAGTGGTAAACAAGAGGCCGAAATAATATCCCCCAGGGTTATTCAAGCACGCAAATGGTCTCTATCTGCTTTTTAATAAAAACAGCTAGTGTCCGCAATCAGTACTGGAGGTTGACTGGAAAAAGGACATTTTACAGATATTTTTTAAACTGGCAGGTGTTCAGAAACATAAGCTTATATTCACCCCTGATATACTGTGATGTTTACTGTGCATAATCAGGCTTACAGCCAGCAGGTTATGAACATGCATCAGAACAATTAAGGAGAGCAAAATTTAAAGAAAACTGTCAAGGGTGTGTGAGGTTCACTACCTTTAAATATTTTTTTTTTAAACTCTCAAATCTTTCACTGATGCAGCCAGAAAGGCACATACGTATCCATGCTGGCTAAGTCAATTGTTTTTAATAATAGTATTAAAAACTATGTACATCTTTACTTATACATGCATACAACTGAATAGATTCCACAGTGTTTGCTTTTGTTGGGTAGTGAATATTCAATTCAGTTACTTCATTTACACCTCCATTAAGATACTATTTTTAGACATCAGAGCCTCTGTTAAAAAAATCAGTGAACACAGAGACCACAGCCACTTCTTATTCCCAGCCAGAACTCACTGTGATAGGTCCATGTGTGTCAGCTGGTTAGGGACTGGATAGATGTTGACTGTCGTAAGGCCTGTGGGCAGATAAAAGCAGCAGTCAGCAGCTAAACATCTGGTCCATTCATATATGTGTCCATATAATGAATGTATCATAGTAAGGAGGGCCTGACCATACAGACAAACAGCCAGTGAGGCGATAATATCAGCACTCTGTGTTACTCACGGTTGCTGCTGGCATGAAGCATGCGCAGTGTGAAACCGCTGAGCGTGAGTGTCCCCAGCTGGTTGCGCTGGCAGTGCAGAGTCTCCAGGTTGCAGACGGAGCTCAGGTCTAGTGAGCCCAAGCAATTGTCCCGTAAGTCCAGCTGGGTCACCTGGCTCACTGCCTCTAGACTCTCACTTTTCACCCAGCGCAGCCCGTTCAAACTGCAGTTAACAGGGAACACAAGAGATGAAATATTACTGGTTATCCCTTCTGGAGCAGAGGAGGAAGTCTTGATGAAGTGTTAAAAGGGACCTATTGTGCTTTTCCTTATTTTCTGTCATATATAAATATACATATATTGTTACCATGTCATTTCTTATATTCCTGCTGGAACATGTCTGAATGTGTTTAAATTCCTATATTGGTGATTTTTCACAATAAAAAGTGCTGCTATTCTCCGTCACAGTCATTACCAGCTAAAATTAAGGTGCAGAGACACAGAAATATGGAAGACCCAGAGATGCTGACTACTGAGAACAGACTGGGCTTTTCTTAGAGGGGAGCTTAAAGAAACAGGTGCTAAAACAGAGAGTTTCAGAAAGAGGGTGAACAGGTGTTCGAGCACAGACAGTATGAGGAAATAAAGTGTTTTTTTTGTTTTTTTTTTTAACTTTAAAGCATGTAAATGTGTTGTACTTTCCCAAATTAAAATAGCAGTAGTGTGGTATTTAGGATTTTTGCCTGATTAGCCAACAATTTTTTTCAAAATATTCCAGCAGTGGCTATTTTAGACCACAGTGACAGATCGTCAGCAAACGTTGTCATGAGAATGTCACAACATTTGTTAAATATAGGAATGATTAACAGTAATAAACATGTGTCCTCTAAATTTTCCACTGTGGAACATGTCAGTGCTGTTTCACATTTGGCCAAAATAAGCAACAGTATGGTAATTTCCTTAAGTCTTGTATTGTGGGGGGCATGCGAAAAATTAACAAACTTTTTAGCCATCTTTTAGGTCAATCAATTTTTGGACTGGGGGAACTTTTTCATAGGTCTAACAATCTAGTCTTAAGAATCCCCCTTTTTGTTGTGTCTGCACCGTAAGAACTAGGTATGATCGCAGTTCTTGGAACACTGTTTTGAGGGACTTTTTTCGGTCCATTGTCACTGTAGGTACTCTCCCAGCTCAAGGGGAACCATGAGTGACTAAAGTGTACAGTGACTGGGCCAACAGTAACAATTGTCATTTTCGAAAACCCCTTAGCCTTGTACACAACAGACAACTCAAAACGCAAACAACAGCTTGAAACAAGACGAAAACACGGACAAATAGACAAACAATGAGGTCCAGGCTTTACTAAGCATATATGTGATGGTGGAAATACGACGTGACTTGGGCTTGTCAAAGCTCTGGCCGGCTTACAACACGCCACTTCAGCGTTCCTTTTGGCAGTGCGAATGCAAACAGAAAAAAGCCCTTGAAGGTATGTAGTTCCCAGAGCTGTTTGGTTCAAAATGCCTCGTTTGAATTTTAAGAAAATAGATTAAAAACATTTAAGACACATCAATCACCCAGGTTTAATTAAAAATCTAACCCTGACTTCTAAGTTACTGTGTTTGTTGGAAAACAAACTGGAACCACTCCATTGTCTCGCCCTTTGTTTCACTGGGGGAAAACCTCTATTAACTTTCCTGTCAGATTTGTCTACCCTTGTTTAGCTTCCAACCTATGAAAATGATTTGGACAATAATGAGTAAGGAAATTCTGAGTTCATGACTGTCAGAAAAGGCACTGTGCTGAGATCCAGACCCTCCATCCATGACCCCATCCATCCTGTTAATAAACAACAACTCCTCTTTTATGAGAGCTGCCAGCTCACTAATCCACCACAGATGCACCTTGCCCTTATAAATATAGTCTGCCATTGCCAAACCGCAATTTAACTCCCAAGGTTAAATTATTAGCTGGCTGTGGGTGGAGCAGCGGTTGCTGGTTTGATCCTCAGACTGGGAGGAAAAATCAATAGGTCGAGCTTTCCCTCATTACCCACCATAGAGGTCCCCTTGAGCAAGACACTTAGTCCCCAACTGTTCCTTTGGAGCTGCTAAGAGGCCAAAAAATATCTGCAACTGTAGTTCTAGGTAGCTCCCAGGTGTGAGGAAAGGCAAAGCAGAAAAAAAATCATTTGTATTCAGCAAACCTGGCGTCTAAAAATAAATGTTTACTGAAAAAAAGGTGAGGCTTAGAGGAGGGGTGAGGAAGGGAGGAATGGCTGAGGTTCAGACTAGTATTTGTGTCATTTATTTTTCTTTCAATGCCAGAGGGAGGAAAAAAAGTTACTTATATTAACTAAATAACTTAAAGTGTTTGGGGGGTCCCCTTCACATTACAATTTCCATATTGATCCAACAGAGAAAAAAGAGAGTGAAGAGACTGAGGAAGTACAGAGGCAGAGAGCTGTTTATTCCCTGGCTGGCCTCTTACCGGAGGTCGATGTTTTTCAGGTGGCTCATTTTGGCCAGAGTACACAACTCCAGACTTTCCACTCTGTTCCCAGCCATAGCCAGCTTGTCCACTGCACTCAACCTCTCCAGCACAGCAGGGATGTGAGAGAAGTTGTTGAAGGAGAGCCCTAGGCTGTTGAGCTGGGACAGGCCACCCAGCTCTTCAGGCAGGGAGCTGAGGTGGTTTCCATCCAAAGAAAGCGTCTGCAGGCTACAAGATAAAGAGGAGAAAACAGTCCCGTTTTATTTATTTTATTTATATAATAGAACTAGATGGCACTCAGCTTGTGGTACTTAAAGCCCCCCCCCCCCCACAAAAAAAAAAAAAAAATTGAAAAACTCAACAGCAATGTCTCTTTCCAGAAGTCATGACCCGGTTACTAAAATAATCCACAGACCTTGTTGTGAGCAGTTTCATGTAGGAACTATTTTCATTCCACCAAACCATACCTGCCAACCATATCACCACACAGACAACAGCATGTCTCTACGGCTAGTTCTCTTTGCACTTCTGAAGAAGCTTACGTTACAGCTCAGCCGAGGACTACGCCATTAATGTTTAGATTTCACCGTATTATGTGCACAAGCTCCTCCAACAGTAGATGGACGTTTCCTTCTGCACTGTTATGGGGTTGGTGGGTATAGTGCAGTAGAAAGAAAATAGTTACTACATGAAAATGCTCACGTTAAGGTCTGTGGAATTTTTCTCCTTTATGCACTTTGAGCACCACAAGCCGGACGCCATTTAGTACCATTGTATTCGAGAAAAAGCAGACATCTCTCTGGTTGATATCTCCAACACTGCAACTCACACCAAAACAATCTAGATAAATAGCTCTACAAGTAAAGAGAGAACAGAAATTCACAGTGTGGTTGTCTTTTGGATTTACTACTAACAGAAAAACTTGGTGTACTTTTCATGTGCTGCTCATGTGGTTCCAATAGAATTGTGTGCACTGTTTGTTCATATCCTAAGTAATGTATTCATGTACTATGTGTATTGTTTGTATGTAGTGTATGTACATGTGTGTCACTGTGTCACACCTTTGAAGGTTGCCTATCTGCACAGGGACGGTGTGGAGACTGTTACAGGAGAGGTTGAGCTCAGTCAGAGTGAGGATCTCACACACACATTCGGGGAACACACCCAGACGATTGTGAGACAAGTTCAGGCTCTTCAGCTGAGAAAACCTAAAGAAAGAGAAAACAGCATGGAGGAAAAAATTGCCAACCACACTCATTTTGACACCTGCCCAGTTAATTTGCACATATATGATAACAGAAGTGCTGTAACTGTGAGTGAACACCAACATAGTGGGATGTGTCTGACATCACTTTACTATGACCTAAAACTGATCCAGTCCTGCACTGTGCAGAGGGTGAGTAACAAAAGTGATCAGAAATGAAAATGACTGCATTTTTAACATCTAAATCAGCTAATGTTATAAGGCCTAATCAGCCACCAAATTGTTTTTTATTGTGGCCGCCTATGACACAACCTTTGACCCCTAAAGTCACATCCAGCCAAATAACGGGACATCACTGATCAGACAGCGATGTAGGTTAGGTTAGCTGCATCGGCGAGGGCCAAGTTATACATTTGGGGGAAGTTTGGTCTGATCAGAGACGGTAAAAATTATGTTGTCAGTGGCTTTACTGCTTGTAAAAAGTTTAAAGTGTGTTTAATTACAGCTCACGGGACTTTTTCTAACAGGTTGAGGCAGGTCTGCATTTAACTTGGAGATAACAGGTAATAGGTCGGCACTGATCTGAGCGGGTTTCAAAACTGCACCTGTGCAGGACTCTGGGGTCCACTACCTGAGAAGGGTGCATAGATAAAAGGCAGTACTTGCATTTTTTCAACCAAACAGCAATCAAAAGCTGCGGTTTACACTACAAGGAACATAAGACACTTTTTGTTTGTTTTTGCCTTCGACAGAAGACGACTGTGATGTTGAGAAAGAGCTGTTAAACACTGGAAGATTCAATGACACAGATGAGCAGCAGTATATTTGCTGGCCTGCCTGCTGTGGTCCACATTTTCAGTGCACTGTCTTGTCTGCAAAGCTACTTGTTGTGTCTCAGGAGAATGCAGTGAACAAGGAATGTGGATGAAAAGAAGATATATGGTACTAACTAACTAACAGCTGAGGCTGAACACCAATCGTTGAGGAAATTAGATACTGCAGATTCATTCCCCACAAGTCCACTGTGGGAGTTTTGTGCTGTTATTTGTGCCTCGGGCTTGCACCATGTTATTAAGATGGCTTTAAAGGCAGCTGGAAAAATCAGTCAGTGTCTCGGCATCCAAGGAAGGACAGTGTTCACATTGGAAAAGTATTCAAATCACCCCGTTGGTAGCATTAGTATTACCAGTGTATGATGTTACCAGATTTAGCTCAGCCAGTCATATGTCTACTACGCTTGATGGGGATAGTTTGGAGTATGTGTTTGTTCATTCGTGGGATGTGTTTCAACTGGCTGTTTAAAATAGAAAAACATCTTATGCATCAATTCTGATTTGTGTGTAGACATTTGCAACACGTGTCCGAGAGATTGGGCTGTGATGTATAAAGTGATGACATGCGGGTGCACAGTCAGATCTTCCACATTAACTCCACCTTCCTCTTGTTCCCCAGGGTGCTGTGAGCAGTGGAGGTGGCTGCTGTGAGTCACAGCGCTGGTCAAAGTACAGACCGTTTCCTTTTATCCATGCATTCTCTCTCTAAATATACAAACCAAAAGGCTACAGCAGCACAGGGTACACAGGGAGAAATTAAAGGCATGTCTTGTTCACTGGATTTAGATCACTGTATATATTATTACAGTCATTTCTCCTGTGCTCAAAGAAAAAAAGAAAGAAACCAGAGGCCGGAGCAAATGGTCAGCTACAAAATAGCACCCAAGAATGCATTAGAGTCTCTCTGTCGTGTAGAAACATATTTCAGCAAGGCAGACACTTTCCACCACAAGGCCATGACCCCTGCTAAATGATGGACTTCTACTGTCTCTCTGTTAGCAAATACTTGTGTAAAATTCTTCGGGTGAAGGATGGGTGATTACCTGGGGAGGTTAAGAAGGCCTCCAGGCCCCTGAAGGCTCATGAAGTTGTGTCTCAGGTTGAGGTGGGTGATATCCTGACAGTAAAATAGATATTCAGGCACTACTTCCAGACTGTAGCAGGACAGGTCCACCAAGCTGACTGTCTGAGACACCACCTACATGCACACACAAACACAGAGTTAAGACAAGAACCTTTATCTGTTTAAAGAGAGTATCAAAATTTTGGCATGTCAGTGTCACATCACATCACATAGCTCATACAGTATGAAATCTAAAAACCTTTACACACATGTTCTGTCAACATCTGCTGAGTTGGCTGCTGCTGTAGTGCAGGTAGAGTAAATTGCAATCAAAATTAAATCCATATTTCCTAAACTAAGAACTCTGCCACCTTGAGCAAATTGGTTTGACTTATAAGTTATCCTCTTTTTGTATGATATTGGACTAAAACTCAATTTCAGTGATATCCCCATAAGCATCAATCAAATCCAATCAAGAAAACCAGTATTCTCCCTTGGCCCATTATATCAAGACAATAAAGCTCCTTTCCTTCTTGCAGCCTTGCAATCCAAAGTGCATTGATCAGCACAATCAGGCGGCCACCGCCCTTCTGCCTCACGCCTTGTAATGAATTCCAACTTTAAATCCACCCAACAGCGGGGAGTATTTACCTTAAGAGAGCTGCGACAATGGACAGAGGAAGAAATAAAACTGGGCTCAGATTATGCAAGCAGCCAGCTGCCTTGCCAAGACATTACCTCAGACAGACAATGCCCCAGTTTCCAGTTCAATGGAGTTCTGTCCGTTACTGTCAGACCTTAGCAAACATGTGTAGACATACACTGAGCTGCCAGTTCATTAGTTACACCTATTTAAAGGTAACACTTAAAGGCTGTAGTTTGTGGTGCTGTTGCATTGTGTTGTGTTAGGCTAAGACAGAGTAAGTCCCCAGAGAATGACTATGTGACACACAATGTCCTCACAAGTACCACGGGAGGAGTGTGTGATTACATCTACATGTGTGATTTTGTGTTTGTTTTAGCTTAGTTCAAATCTTGGTCTACTCTCACTATTGTTACAGTACAGTTACACAGCTTCGTCTCACATTTTTCTTGTAAAAATGTAGCTGCACAGAATCCCCCATCATCTCAGAGATGATTGTTTACAGGCCGGGCCATCATTGCAAGCTACTCAGCAGTGTTCGCCCAGTCCAGTCTGAGGACAGTCTCCTCCATTAACTACAGGGCTGCACACTGTGCAGCAACCCAGAAAATGGGACGGCTGCTCAGCAGAGCGTGACATTACGTCACTGCTTTTAGAGATGACAAAGACAAAACTGCTCATCTCCCACAAAACTACTCATCTGCCAGCCCCTTAAAAAAACAATTCCTCTTTAACAAGAGTAATTAAATGACGTGAAAGCAGGACGACGGACATAGGCTGACAAAGAAGAATTTAAAAGGGGTCAAAAGAAAATGAAAGAGTTTTGCTGTTTTAGATGATTTGCATAGCAATTTAAAATCGCGACTGTGAAACACTGTGAAGCAATGTGATCGAATCAGAAGACGAGCAAAGATGACACCAAAAGAAGACAGCTGTTTTGGAAAGGACTAAAATAGCATGAATAGAAGTATAGTGACTTTTAACAGTTACTGTGGTCCTCTCAGTCCTTCATCAATAAGTCATTTCACATCGATTCAATCATTCATACATGCGATCAGATAATTTCTTATTGCTCTGAGAAACCAGGAACTGGTAGTCATATTTGACTACTAATGTGTATTTGGGTAAATATGCCATCACAGGTTAATATATCCATTAACCTTAAAACATGCTTACACCATATCTAGTCCAGTCAGGTTAGATAGCACTTTGATTGGCATCTCCGTTCCTGTTGGCAGTCACACTTGAAATCTCATGATGCCACTGACAGAGACAAAATGTTGCAGTACTTCAGGCTCGTCTGTGAAGTCTCTGACTTTTTAAACTGTAGAGGGCGTCCTTAATCTGGTGTGATGATTACTGAATAATCAGTTACACAATAAATATTATTCACTGAATTAATTAACTGCACAGATGGTTTTAGCTGATGTGTAGTCAGGAATGGACTTTTAATTCAATTTGTACATTATAGGGAAAGTTTACCCCAAAATCAAAAACACATCTTTTCCTCTTACCTGTAGTGCGATTTATCAGTCTAGATTGTTTTGTTGAGTTTTTAAGTGTGCAGATATCGACTGTAGAGATGTCTGCCTTCTCTCAAATATAATGGACGTTAATGGCACTCAGCTTGTGGTGCTTAAACAACTCACAACAACACTTAACAGCAACGTCTCTTTCCAGAAATCATGATCCAGTTACTCAAGATGATTCACAGACTAGTTTTATGTAGGGACTTTTTTCTTTCTACCGTACTACACCAGCTAACAATATCACTGCACAGAAGGAAGCAAGCATCTACTGTTAGCTCACCTAACACCACAGAGCTAGCTAACATTACAGCTCACCTGAGGAGGACATCATTAATGTTTACATCTCGCGCTGTCACAAGCACGAGCCTCTAGTCCATGAGTAGATGCATGTTTATTAATTTGATTTTAGGGTGACCTGTCCCTTTAACAACTAATAAAAGACATAAAAGTGTTACTGGCAAGAGATTGCTGACACCATCTATGTTGTTATCCAAATTCCACCACCAATTTATAGCCTGAGTCTATAAAAGAGGACACATATTGCAAAATTAGACTGCAATTTATTACCGATAGTAACTGATTTTTATTGCATAATTACACAAGACCATAAATTACATGTTTACACAGCAGTCACTTTTCTTGACCTTTCTTTTATAGTTGTCCAGCAAACACTACTTTATCTTTTGTTATATATTAAAGTTCATATTTCCTAAATTGTAATAAAATGTACCAATTGTGAATGAACTGTAAAATTGGTGCATAATTATTTCAAAAATCAAACTAATCTACAATATATTTTACACAGTCTGACTTCCTATAAATATATTTATATCAATAATATATATTATTTCTATATTATACATTACAATTATAAATATACAAAAGTTGATATATTGCTCTATAATGTATCCCCGCGCTCCAGTATTCAGTCCTGTCCTGCAAGTGCACTCTGCGAGCACAAATGTACATGCTGACACACACTCTTATGATTTATGCAATGTAGCATAAACACTGGCCTAGGGCTGGGCGGTATGACCTAAAATTTATATCACGGTATAAATCGAATCCCTTTACGGTAACGGTATATATCGCGGTATAAATTTAAGTGTAAAAGTTATAATAGAAGTGTTTCTGAATGGGTTTTGTAGTCCCTTAGCAAAGCTAAATTGATAAAAAAAAAAAAAAACCAACAACAAAAAAAGCAAAGATATAATGTATTTTTTAGAGCATTTATTGTGCAGAATGCAGATCTCAAAACTCAAAATTAAAACCCAGTACTCTACGGTGCAAAATGTCCCCTGGGATCTATATCAAAAGGTAATTTCCTTCTTTTAGCAAAATCCTAAATGACTGAGTTGTGTTTTTTCCACCTGGACCTTTATGCTCTGCCATTTCTCCTCTAATCATCACGCTGTAACCTGTGACAGGCTGTTATGATACCACAACTATCACACATTCACATATGGATTTTTTTGTGGAGCCCCTAGCGTCACATAGGTTTACATTACCAAAGGTTTATGACAAACTCTCTTGCCGAAAACCACTGTGTGCGCACGGCGAGAGAGGAGAGGGAGAGGCGCTGTGCTGCTGCCAGAGGAGACACTGAATGAGTTCCCTCTGAGCGGTAAGTCGCTAAAAGAGTCTGAGAAGTCCGGGGCTGTTCATAAGACATTAACTCACTCACTCACAAGTTCTCCAGCAACACATGTTGCACGTGCTACGCTAAATCACGGACGTGAACCAACTCCTCTTGCTCCGCTGTCTCTGTGCTCGCAGCCATTTTCACACTGAGGCAGGTGCGATGACGTCATCTACGATAGGACGGTAGAGCGCAAATCTCTACCGTGGGCCAAATTTATATCATTTCTACCGTCTACCGCATATACCGTGCAGCCCTACACTGGCCCAAATCCACCAAAAACCTTCATCAGTCATCATCCTCAGTCTCCATAGAAACCTCTCGTCTAAGTCTCAGCCTAAACACAGTGCACTAACAGGCTACTCTAACCCAGTAATCCATACCACCATGGTAGAGAGAGATCCTGGACTTAGCATGAATCTGCAACTAATTGGATTTTCTTTCTCTTTTTTTCAGTTGGCTTTCTCCTTCCATGGCTAATTGTATGCTGGCTCGGCCTCAGTGGAGGCTCTCACAGAGGCTGTTCAGCTCCAGGAAGGAGCTGCGGTACAATAGCCATTAATTAGGATATTAGAGACAAAGCAGGCTGAGCAGAACAGAAACAATGAATTTTTTGAAGAACAGCTGTGAAGACCTGGCAAGATTTTCTGAAAGACACACAGCATACAACACAAATACAAAAATGTGTTTGGGTCATTTAGCATCTTCTGATCCACGGTGATTTATGTAACAAAAGCTCTACTGCTAAGGGCCTTTATGGCAAAAAAAAAAAAAACCTCAATAAAAGTGAATAGAGGTATGCTGCTCAATCAATGCCAGACACCGCTGAGAGTCTGCCTCTGTGGAGCCAATCAGACACACTCAGAGAGGCAGCGGTTTCTGATTGGACGGCTCAACAGGCAGAAGGCAACTGTAGTCCTAACATCTAATCTCTGATTTAAGTACAAGCCCAGAGGGACTAACTGGAAACAAACAAACTGCTGCGGAGAGAAAACATGGGAGACACAAGCTGGGTCCTGCACATACAGTGACACACACTCTTTGTCTCTTGCTTACTTTTGATGCCTGCCGATGCCATCGCTGGTAGTCTGCGAGTGTGTCGAAGTTGACAAAGTATGTCTGGGCCTGTGATCCGGCTGAGCTGAACATCAGGCAGTGCTGCCTCCGCTTCACCTCCTCCACCTCAATATAAAGGAAATACACAGATACAATGAGGAGGACACACATTGAGAAAACACAAATGGAAAATGATGATTATCATGACTCATTATTGCAAGATATTGGTAAAAGACTAGATTTTCACAAAGTTATATACTAGTCAGCATTGTTTTTCTTACTGTTCCTCCCTAGATTTGATAGAAGACCCTCGACCGTACATGTGCTAACCTGTTCACTTCAACTGTGTGTGCCAGAGGGTTTGTGGACAAAAGTGAAGCGTTATAACTAATCTATTGTGAATGCACACCTGAGGTTTACCACTAAAAATCATATCTGATATCATATCAAAATCATTAAGTGAACATTTTGCTCTCAGTTGATACAAAGTGAGAGGAAATGGTGCCATGCTCTGTTGTACTGACGGCCTACTGGACCAAAAACCAATTTCTCCGACAGCCTGTTATCCCAAAAACAAATACCCATTGCTCCAAAGTCATTTTTCTCCAAAAATACACACTTCCTGAAGCTAAGTTAAGTTTCTCAACTGAATTTGAGCCACTGATCCCTGGTGTTTTTAGCGACTCTTCGGGGCGTTTCCCACAGGATTGAGCCCGGTTTTCCAGTGGCTTTTTTCCTACCAAACATAGATGTTTAAGCAAAAACATGATCTTTTCATAACCATAACTAGGTGTTGTTTTGCCTAAACCAAACCACATGTTCACCACAGCCTTAAAGCAAAGTTTCAATGCTACAAAATAATGTACAAATGTATTGTATCCGTGGTTTACAGAAACGTACAATGTGAACATTTTTACTTGCAATTGGGTTGTGTAAATGCAGGGAGTGTGGTTGTTTTTTTGGGTTTTTTGGAAAAAACGGGACGGGAAGCAATGAGCATTTGTTTTGGGGGATAACAGCCTGTCACAGAAATGAGCTTTCAATCCAATGGGACATTTTTTGGACTAGATATTGGCTGTCGGAATGATGGGCAGTCCCCCAGGAACAAGGGAAGGGTGCCATGTTTATTTCTAGTTCATTTTTTCTGCACATATACATATATATATAAAAAAAGAGAGTAAGAAATAAAAAAAAAAGTTTAAACATTGTGCAAGAGAGGTTAGAAGCCAAATATGGTTTACGTAGATACTTCCCCTATTAGTTAGCAATAGTCATGCTTGAAGAAAGAAAAAAGATAAAAACACAGACTGTGTGATTCATCAATGTTTCAAGACTAAGCAGTAATATAAAATTAATAGAAATGTACAATTACCAAAGAGTTTGTTCACAAGTTGCATTACAATGAAATCCATGTAGTGTCATAAATCTTTGCTGATTAGAGTCCTCTAAGATGTTTTTTGAATAATGAGAATGTAGATGTTGATTGTTATGATGGAAGTAGGTTGTTCCAAAGAGATGGCACTCTGTATTTTAATGAATATTAATTAAGGCAAGTCTGCCAATAGTCCCTGTCTGAACACAAACTAGGGAAGTTGAAGTTACATAGCATGCATCTACCAGGCTGCAGTAGATGGCGTGGAGATTTTAAAGCATTTTATGGTGGATTTCTTTCAAATTCAGCACAGGTATGGTAATGTGTACAAAGAATCTGCACTGTCTATAGCTTTAAAGCTTTGAGATCAGAGGTTCTCAACTATTTTCCATCACGGTATTCCAATAAAAAGATTATTTTTTATTGGTTTTCTGTCCGTGGTTCAAGGTAAATGTAAAATCAGCTGCTGTATTGTATTTAGTTGTATACATTCTGCGGCCTACACAGCACACAGTAAAGGCTATTTTGCTTTAGACGATACAGTCTGCATGTAAAGTAGTGCGTCATCTTTTTAACTATTCAGCACTATGCAGCCGTCCAACCCAGCTGTGTTGTTACAGTGTATCTACACACAGCCTGTAGTGTGGACTCTACCCAGGGGACAGTGAAAGGTTGACACCTCTTCAGGTTATCTGTTCTCCAAACACTGAACTCTTACCTTTCCCCCCACCAGGGGCAGGATGTGCATCTTTCCAGTCAGGCTGTCTTTGACGGAGGCCACGATTAAACAGGTGCCGCAGAGGATGACCTGCCGCTCTGCCCACTTGTGCAGCTGCGACTTGCCCTTCCTGACGCTGAATACGCCTTTCAGCAGGGTCCGCTCCTGCTGGTCTGCATTCACTGGACGCTCTGGAGGGAAAAGCCCACACACAGAGGTTAGTGTAGATCTTCAGACATTGATCTAATATGCAAGAACTCCTAAGTCCCCTGTGATAAACAAATTCAGCTAATTAACAGCAAATGTCATAAGCTGGAAACTTCCAGAAAATGAGGTCATACAGATACTCGCAGGTCAGTATGATATCACCTATGGATTAGTCAGCTCCTTAGCTTTGTAATTCCTGGAACTGATCTATCATTGTCACTTAATATGGACACTGCCCTATTATCTCATATACTGTGGATAGATAACAAGTTTGATCTTAGAGTAAGGTGAAGAAAGTTTCTCCATTAAACTCCGTTATTATATACCCCACACCTTGCTGGGAACTGTGTTTGGGAATGGTTATATTCAAACTTCCTAAGAATTTAATCTCTTTCTCTCTCTGGCTGAGCCAATCATCTGCATTCATGTTTGTCATGTGTTGCAAGTAGATACACGAGAAGACAGAGTGCAGTAAGTTAACAGTCAGGATGAGGTTAAATAAAGCAAAACTATAGCTTTGGGTCAAGGGTTGGGTCAGGGGCCTCATTACAGAAACTTCCTGAGTCTGAAATCCTATCTTATCTCAATTTAGGATGACATCCAGGGTTTTTGGTATTACAGAAACATGATTCCTTATTGCATTTAGGGAAAACCCTATCTTCTCTTGGGAAAGAAATTAAGCATTTACAGAACTGTCCTAACTTAGGGACTTTACTAGTTAGGAATCTTAAGTTAGGATGGCATTGACCCTGTCCTAATTCAAAATAACTGGCAAAAATGGCAGCACCACTTTTGTTGGGTCTGTATGGCAGTTCGGGCTGCAACTAATGATTATTTTTCAGTATCAATGCATCTGTCAGTTATTTTCTTGATTACTTAAGTAGTTGTTTGGGCTACAAAATGTCAGAAAATAGTAAAAATTTTCGATTGGTGTTTCCCAAAGCCCAGGATGACATCTTCTTTGTCGTGTTTTGTCAACAACCCAAAGATATTCAGTTTACTGTCATAAAAGAGTGAGGAAACCAGAAAATATTTACATTTAAGGGGCTGGAATCAGAGAATTTGACTTATTAGTTACCGATTAATTCAATAGTTGACAACTAATTGCATAATCCTTGCAGCAGAGGATGGGAGACAACAGGAACACAGAAATATAAATCACAATTCAAACTGCATGGTGACACTTAAAATTTTCTGGGCCATGGATTAATGGGTGTCTATTGACAGGCAAGATGATTCATTTTGAATTAGATCGATGTGCTATGAAGCTTACAAGGATGCATGCGGCTCTGCCAGTGGTCGTAAAGATGATAGATGCACTTTGGTTTTTTTGTTAAGGGTAACTTCCAGCCTGAAGCTGAAGGTCTGTCCTAAACATCTCAGAATTGCATCTCATGCGCCTCACAGAGGTCACCTGAGCAATCTGAACTCTCAAAAAATTGAACGCCACTCTTTTTTTTGTTCATGATGATGACAAGTGAGAGCTGTTGATATCATGGCCTGTCCATCTCAAGTAGGTCCATTCTACACATTTTAAATATTGATGCAGGCATGACACAAGGAGTCCTGACTGAATTGAATTTACAGTTATAGTCAGAACTTCGTGAAGGTATACTATGCAGGAGTTGTCTGTTACTGTAAAGTGAAAGTGAAAGACGGCCCCAGACTAACTCTCATTTTGGAACGAGCTTTGTCTGCTTGTTGTTTCGCCTTGCTACATAATTGCATTCTTTCAGCACTGTGTCTGGGATTTTCTAGAGTCCCAAGCTCACCTGGGTGCTGTGCCCATGGAACATCCTAAACACAGCAAAATAAGAAGAAAATAAGACTTTTTTTTAATATTGCATAGTAGGAGTATATAGGAGTTCTGAGTTAGGATAGGGAGTAGGAATGAGTTTAAGAATTGCTTCTGTAATAGGAAGATAGGATCTGTCCTAGTTCTGAAACTTAAGATAAGATAAGCAGTTAAGATATTTTTCTTTAATGAGGCCCCAGGTCTAGGTTGGCAGTAGCAGTGAGGTTTAATCAGGTTGGTAGTTGAAGATGAGGATATGGGCAGATGTCAGTTTTAGGGCTAAACAGAGGTCTAAGCCATAGTGTCTCAATAAAAGATGCAGATAGATGGTGACGCCAGATTCAGGCCTGAGTTCACAGCCAGTGCAGGATGCTAAGCTATAGTATCTCAATTGATCTTTGCAATTAAGGATTCAAGCCCCTCTCTCTTTCCTCCCATTCCTCCTCCCTTTCTTTATAGATCAAACTTGGATCTGTGAAATCACCACACCCGTCAGTACATCAGAGCTAAGGTGCGGGAAACTATTAAGGTGTCCTATGACTGTTGTATGAACACGTATCTATCAATCTATCTCTTCCTCCTTTCTCTCTCTCACTCCATCGCTATCCTAACCTAGCAGAAGCACCAGTCATATTGATGAATGAGTCAGGGTTTTGTCACATTAAATTTCACTCTTTTCAATTAAATTATTCCAACTTGCACAGCAGGCAGCTTTAGCTGGCCAGTGCTGAAGGATGCATCAGACAGCAGTGCTAGTGTCTCTGCCAGGCTTCAAGTGCACTCAGGTTAATGGCGGGTCAAATAAGCACGGAGGAGACACTGCCTCAGCCTCTTGTCCTCTGTTGTTAAATTTTTCTCAAACCAACTTATGCTGCCTCCCACTCAGAGGCTCTCATTGGCAATCCGCTCTCTCTCCCTCGTCCTGTCTGACTCGCTCTTCCTCTCCACCTTCCCTTTCACTTCACAAGGGCATCCAAATGAAATGAAAGGCTGCTCATGTTTTTCTTCGCCAGGGAAACTCATAATGAACAAGCCAAGTGCTTCTGACAACAAATTGGCTGGCTGGTGGATCAATAGTAGTGACTGATCCTTGGGCATGCCCTCACTCAAAGAGAAAATTAGAGAGACAAACCCTCACAGGGTCATTGAGGGGTAGTATGGACCTGTGTGAAAGTGGGAAAACACCTGGACATGGAGCAAACCACAGTGCTTTTTTGATACGAACTGTGATGTCAGTTGGCAGTGAATGTTTGCTCAGATTTGTACTCTTTTATACTTACTTTTTGACAAGACCTTGACTTAAAATCATCGTTTTAGACTGTACTGTATTGAGGCAAAGTTTTTGTATGGCTGCTTGTGTTTTAACTCACTAATTTAACATTTGAGAAGATTATCTTGTTTAATAAAACAAAGAGTTTTGTTGGAAGACGTGTTTATATTCATCCATGAAAGGGATCAAAAAGCAATAAACATTTCAAACGACACCCCTCCCTCCTGCACAATTAGAAAGAAGTGTGATTTCTGTGTCATGCCCTTCCTGTGTATCACTGCAAGGAGACAAGGAATTACTATCACGAACTGATGCTCAAATCCATGCAAGGAATCCACACACAAATCCCTTCTCTGTATGTCAAATACAAAAAAAATATCATTGCATACTTCATTAGAATATTTGTAATTGTAGTTTACTGTCAACAACATCAAAGGTTTACAGAATATAGCTGACAGCAGAGAGAGTAAATTAGAAGAAACCAAAAATAATATATTCATTAAAACGAGTAATTAAGCAAAACACTCGCCCACTGCAGTACACACATCAATAAACTCGTCATCACGCACCCACTCGCAACGAACTGACACAGGTTGACAAGATGCTCTCAGTGGCTTCACAGTATAACACCAGAAACAAGCACACTTAGCTTTGTTATGTTGTCAGCGGGCTACACTCTTAAGAGCACTACCTGCAGGAGACTAACAAACAGTCTGGTGTATAGCTATAACTGGTCCATAATGCAAGAAAGAATCCTTAAATGACCCTAAAACCAGTAACAAGTGGTTTTGTTGAAGATTTTCGAAGTTATCTTCCATTTTTTCCACAAGTCATATCTTAATCTACTAGTTATAAACTCTTGTACCTTCACCCTTCTCTGACATTACACCACCTTATTATTACAAAGCTTATCTGGATTCCTATGTCACCGGTCATCTAACAATACGCGTGGAACTATTTGAAAATTATCCTGGCCAAATAGTTACGATTCACCATATTATCCCAATATTCATGAAAATATGTTTAAAAGTCTTAAATATGCACTAAAACAGAAGTGAAAGAAACAAATATTTTTATTGCATCACAGATAGGACACACACCTTTTTTGGCGAACATCCTTTTTAGTGTAATGGCGTGTTTGAAATGGCATCTTTCAATATGAAATAAGCAAATGCTTGATGGAGACACGATTTTTTAAGGTTTGTGCATGGGCAGTCTGTTTTTGCAGAGTTTCGCCCAGAAGTCTATTTGGTTGCTGCTGGACATGATGTTCACAATTATCCTAATAATATATATTCACTATGATCAACTAAGCAATTAAACCATATATCATAGTATCCCTATGTAACAAAGAAACGTATGAAGCAGAACATCAATTATTTGTGCATCCGTGTGAAAATTAGCGTACAAATACAGCATCACTCACTCACAACTCGCATCACACACTCACAACAGTCCCTTTTGCTCACAAAAGAGTAGAGCTGAAATGATGGACTGAAAATTAATCTGCAACTTTCAATAATGGATTAATTATTTGAGCCATTAAAAAAGCTACAATGTTTGTTCTCGCAAATACAACGTAAGGCTTTTCAGAGAAGTCCAAAGGACCAACAAAATTATACCTGAATCAAACAAGTTGTTTGCTGGAGCAATGGGTGAGAAATACACACAATATGCACACAAAAATGCACATTCCAATTCATGTTGTGATCGTACAGGCTTCCATGCATACATAAGGATGGAAATCGGAGGCGGTTCCAGTTGGGAACCGGCTCCAAATTGTCTGACCCATTGGAATCGTATGAATACAGGTTTATCAGTGCCTTTTTTATTGATGCTATGATGTTTTTCTGACAGTTGCAAAATAATGACATCAAACATCAATGCGTCTACTCTGCTGAAACAAGAAGGAGTCATGG